CAGGGGGGGCAGAATGTCCCCTGACTGTATAATATATCTTATATATTATATCTATTGCCCACTGTCGGGGGGGGCAGATTGTCCCCCGACAATAAATTATATAAAATTGGCGTCAGGCCTATGCCTGAAAATATACTGTATTTACCCCGGGGGGCATGCCTCCCGGGGAACATTTATTGTGTAAATAAATAGAAAATGTCGATATCCAGCCATGTAGTCGAAAATGTAGGGTTTTGAGAGGACTTTATTTTGGTGCCAGACCGAGGCCTGTATCTCTAACCGTTTAGGAGATATCGAAGGTTAAAGTTTTCCAACCTTTCTCCGTTGATATCTCCGCTTCTACTGGAAGTAGAGAGTCGCCACTTACGGCAAAATGTAGGGTTTTGAGAGTACTTAATTTGGTGCCAGAACCAGGCCTGTATCTCTAACCGTTTAGGAGATATCGAAGGTTAAAGTTTTCCAAGCTTTCTCCGTTGATATCTCCGCTTCTACTGGGAGTAGAGAGTCGCCACTTACGGCAAAATGTACGGTTTTGAGAGGACTTTAATTTGGTGCCAGAACCAGGCCTGTATCTCTAACCGTTTAGGAGATATCGAAGTTTAAAGTTTTCCAGCCTTTCTCCGTCGATATCCAGCCTTCCTCCGTCGATATCTCCGCTTCTACTGGGAGTAGAGAGTCGTCCATGTAGTCAAAAATGTAGGGTTTTGAAAGGACTTTAATTTGGTGCCAGAACCAGGCCTGTATCTCTAACCGTTTAGGAGATATCGAAGGTTAAAGTTTTCCAACCTTTCTGCGTTGATATCTCCGCTTCTACTGGGAGTAGAGAGTCGCCACTTACGGCAAAATGTAGGGTTTTGAGAGGACTTTAATTTGGTGCCAGAACCAGGCCTGTATCTCTAACCGTTTAGGAGATATCGAAGTTTAAAGTTTTCTGAAGTAAAGATTTAACATTTAATACGTACTTTTATTTTTTCTGCTCCTCACCCCCTCTCCCCCGCTCTTTTTAGACCACACGGGCATAGTCTGGCATAGAGATGGCAACTGTCATTGCAGCACGGACATAAACCGCCTGAAAGTGGATGTAGCATGGACTTCCACCATATGCAGATTTTACCACCGAGACCTGAAAGTGGATGTACTATCGTAGTTCCCCTCTCAAAATGGATGCAGATGGCGTCCTTTCCCAGTGCGGAAAGTCGGTGTCGCAGAAAATGTCGTATTGGCCGCTCTCAGGTTACTCTCTGATACTACAAAGTACAAGATACTTGGGGTCTGTTCTTTATAGCTGCACTGCTGAACTGATGTAATAAGTTAAAATGAGACAACTATATTTTTTCTCACTCTAACTTATTGCACTAGTTCAGCAGTGCTGCTATAATAACCAGATCCTTGGTCTGTTCTTTTTAATTGCACTGCTGCACTGATTCAATAAGTTATGGCGTATTCACACCTAGGCAGAAAAATAGGTTGCGTTCAGAAAACAAAGCGCTCACTGAGCGCTTAGTAACTATTGGTTCTTATTGTTAGATCCTTACATTCAGACCAATAACGTTGACGAATTATTCAACCGTTGTGTAACCGTTGTGTTTTCTGAACGCAGCCATAGAAAGCAGGAAGGCAGCAGCCAAGAGAATGATAGAGCGAAAAACTCTTGCAAGAGAAAGACAGACTATCAGCGTCATTTATGATTGGCTGCTACCTTTCTGCTTTCTGATTTCTGCCCAAGTATGAATGCGTCCCACGCCTGGGCAAAAAAGCAGAAAGCAGAAAAGTAGCATCCAATCGCAAGTGGCGCTATAGTCTGTCTCTCTCTTGCGAGAGTTCTCTCTGTCATTCTCTTGGCTTCTGCTGTTCTGCTTTCTGCTTTTCTACCTAGGTATAAATGCGTCTCCAGAGTGAGAAAATATCATTGGCCGCGTTCAGTAGAACAAAGTGATCAGAGAGCGCTTAGTGATTATTATCTGTGATTGGAGCATTCTTTTAGATTCTTCATAGACCCAGAAGTATTTATCAATCAGGAGCGAGATTCAGTGGAAAATTTAGTAATGTTGTCCAACTGTTGAGTCTGCTGAATGCAGCCATTGAATAAAGGACTCAAGGAAGAAGCATATCGGTAAAGTACGTAAGGGAAGATGCGATGGATGTAACGCCATACTATTTTACCGAAAACGAGTATCGATAATTGCAAGTCGAATTGACTGTCCATTGGGGGGAGAGAGAGAGAGAGAGAGAGAGAGGGAGAGGGAGAGAGAGAGAGAGAGAGAGAGAGAGAGAGAGAGAGAGAGTAAAGCCAGCGGCACACGGTGCTTGTTTTCGTGCTGGTTTGCTTGCTGGATGAAAATACTGCGTTCTGATTGGTGCATTTCCATCCATCTTCGGAAATGTACCAATCAGAACGCAGTATTTTCATCCAACAAGCAATCCAGCATGAAAACAAGCACCGTGTGCCGCTGGCTTTATTGCAATTGTAGACCGCGCTTTCGAGTATGGGCCAGAGTACAGACTTCTGCGTAACGCATAATGCATAAGAGAATTAACCAATCAGAGTTCTTCATTTCTATCCTGAGGAGGGAAATAAAGAAAACGAATTGGTTTATTCTTTTATGCGTTATGTATTATGTGTTATGCAAAAGTCTGTGCTCTTGTTCTAAGGCTGTAAGGCTGTAAGCTATCAGCGAATGAAAATATTTCATTTCGTGTCTTACAATCTTACGGGCCAGAGCACAGACTTCTGCGTGACGCATAATACACAACGCATAAGAGAATCAACCAATCAAAGTTCTTCATTTCTGTCCTGAGGAGGGAAATGAAGAAAACTAATTGGTTGATTCTCTTATGCGTTATGTATTATGTGTTATGCAAAAGCCTGTGCTCTTGCTCATATAAAGCCAGCGGCACACGGTGCTTGTTTTTGTGCTGGATTGCTTGCTGGATGAAAATACTGCGTTCTGATTGGTGCATTTCTATCCATCTTCGGAAATGCACCAATCAGAACGCATTATTTTCATCCAACAAGCAATCCAGCACGAAAACAAGCACCGTGTGCCGCTGGCTTAATATATTTTTCCTGTGAGAAAGGGTGCGTTCCGTTTCACGCATATGCGCGCATTTATCTATAGTTTATGTCACGTATACTATAAAAAATGCGCGCATATGCGTGAAACGGAACGCACCCAAAGTGAAATAGGTGACAAGGTTGCGCATGCGCAATTCATTTTTCGCTACGCGAAAGTTGGAGACTGACATTATTGGGTGCATACCACAACCGTTCATTGAGCGTTAAGTGAGCTGAAGTGAGCTCTTAATCATAACGTAGTGAAATACATCAGCATTTTCGCTCCCAATAGCATCGTGCTCCAAACGCTTCATCTCACGAGGTAAGCCAGCAGTAGCATTCCGAAAATTTAATAACAAATACAAATGACTATATAATGGTGTATACTATCGAAAACTTCAAAATGTTGCAACTTCAAAATGTTAGAATTGATTGATGAAGAAACTGGTCTCGAATATAAGATAAATATGACTGAAGGAGATTATACTCTTCTTACAACAAGTACATATATTTCATAAATATTGGGTGCATTGTAGAATATAGGTTTGTTCTTTCCAGCTGAATTCTTTGCACTAGTTCAAGAAGTATATACTGAAGCGTTCTTTCTAGCAGAAGTGACATCAGGGTATCAATCATGAATCTTTTTCTCCAGCGTGAACTTGTGAAAAGTGAACATTTCTATATGCTTTTACATTAGAAAATTTTCACTTTTCACAAGTTCACGTTAAAAGAAAAGTTTCGTGATTGATACCCAGATGTTATTGTTCTTTCCAACGGTGCAGCAAAACTTAGTGCAACAGTTCACTATACGTCTTGCTAGGGGTTTCTTCTTTCCAGCTGAACTTTCTGTACTAGTTCAAGAAGTGTACACTAAAGTGTTCTTTCTAGCAAAAGTGATGTCAATGTTACTGTTCTTTTCACTAGCAGAACTTAGTGCAATTTACTTAGTGCAGTTCACTATACTGCTTGCACTAGGTCTGAAGTTAGTATAAGCAGTTCAGTACATTGCAAAATTTATACCAGTTCAGATAGTGTATTTGAAAAAAATAGACATACAGTTATTAGATTAATAGATGCTTTTGCAGTTTTTACTTTATTAATATTAATCAATTATTTCACATGAACTAACAGAATATTATCATCATATTCTTTATTGCAAATAGATTCTGCGTGTAATAGGGATACATAAAAGTAAAATAAAATCTTTATCTGAAGAATCATTAAGCTGCAATAGCATGTATTAGCATCAGCTGCAATAACATGTTGCGCTATGTTGTTTCCTGCACTGTGGTGTTCTTTTCTATGCTATCTGGCGCTTCTACACCTATGAACTTTTGCTGTACTCGTCAGTTCTAATTCTGAACTAGTTCAATTCCACTAGTTCAGTTGAAAAAAACAAATGGGGTTTGTTCTTTTTAGCTGCACTGCTAAAGTTCTTTTTAGCTCTTTTTAGCTGCTGAACTGGTGCAATAATTTGGAATAAGAAAAAATATAGTTGTCTCACTCTAACTTATTGCACCAATTCAACATTGCGGCTGAAAAAGCAGACCAATGATCTATCTCTTAGCTGCATTGCTGAACTGGTGCAATAAATTAGAGTGAGATAACTATATTTTTTCTTATTCTAACTTTTTGCTCAGTTCAGCAGTACAGCCAAAAAGAACAGATACTACTAATACACCATGCTCTAATATTCACTGTCCATATTGAAATTCTATAGTATATGGGCTAGTTGTTCCAACTTCTTGGTAAGTTAACTGACAGTTAAATCATGTCTATTTTTGTCTAAGTTGAAGGAAAAACAAAGGCAAACATATAATTTAACTATCAGTTAATTTACCAAAAAGTTAGAACAACCAGCCCTATATGATACAAACTGATTTTAAGTACTGACAATGGATATTGGAACGCAACTATAGTTGTTTTATGATTCTAAAGTCAATTTAGGGTTTGCTTTTAGCTCCTGTAGATCCTTAAGTTTTTCAAAAACGAATAGACTAAAACATCCACCTTAATTAAGCTAGAAAGAAAAAAACTACGTCGCACAGCATGCAAATGAAGTATACTCTTTCTTTCGCACTTTCTGTTATATTTTGGCGTCATAATCAAAAAGACTTTGAACGCACCTGTTTCTTACGCGATTATAATTCGTTAGCCACTACGTCGGCAATCGTCGTCGTATCGCTCACCATCAAAATGTACGGTTAAGATAACCAAAATAACGATTTTCTCCCATTTATTAATTTCGGGCAAAATTACATATATTGTAAGTTATATATATTGTATAGTTTCTGAGCGTGATTGTGAGCAAGACGCAGTTCAACGTAAACACCATGACTGCCCTTTATTTGGAGCATTATCTTGACAGTATGTACATAAATTGTTCAATTGTATTTTTTCAGATCAATATGTCAATTTCATTTAAGGCGGCATTCCTTTGGATTGTATTTTCATATACTCTTCACGTTTGAGAGCAGTGAAGCGCATTTTGGAGGTTAAGATTTGAAGACGAATGAAGCTTTAACCATGTCAAAATGAGCTCTATACCAAAACTTATCATATGATCTCTTTTTGTAATAAATTAACTAAATTTTATGGGATTATTAGAATATGAAAGAGAATAGAAAAAACAGAAAAGAATACAAGGTGCAGTGGAAGTGCACATTTATTATTTGTTAAATTTAAAACAAAATTGTATATCTTCATTTTTTTCATACTTTGAAGATAATCTTATAGCATCTTTCAACTGATCTTTTAAATCAAAAATTTTTTAATCAGTTTCCACGATAAGTGTTATTAAAATTATTAGAATTTTATTAAAAATAATTTTTAATTTTTAAAAAATTGAGAATTTTATTTAAGTCTTAGATAAGCTTAAATTTTATATCTAAATATTGTATATATATATAATTTTTTTTTTTAATAGGTTTTAAAGAAAATTTTATTTTCCACTATTATCTCAAATTTTCTTTGTATCAATTTTTCTCTAAACAATGTATGTAGATCAGTTGTTAGTGTTAATGTCTAGAAATATCTATCCACCAGAAGTCTTTCATAATCTTTTTGATAGGTTTGACAGTCGAAAGAAAGGTTTGTTACAATAAATTTGATTATAAATAAAAATAAAGAATAATATTTACAAGGAATATCCGCAGAGTATATGTCTCCGATTTTGACAAAACTTGGTATATTTGTAGAGTAGCCAAAAATAAGAGACCCATATTTTTTTTATCGGGAATGGCTCAAGTTTAAGGGGTGAAATTCCCTCAAAGTTTCATTCCCTTTATGCTATTTCAATAATTAATGCAGATAGGAAAAAATTTTTACAACAAACAAAAACAAAACAAAAATTGTACGGTATAAAAACTGCACAATCTTTGTTTAAAAAGTTTTTTCCTATCTGCAATATTTTCTTAATCGTTTACTTTTGGCTACGCTACAAATATGCTAAGTTTCGTCGAAATCGGAGACATACACTTCGCGGGTATTCCTTGGTAAATATAATATTTTGTACATTCTAATAGACTTAATACTTTATGAATCAATAGACTTGATTCTTAATATAATTTAATAGACTTAATATATTTTATGCAATTTTTATTAATATTTTAGTTATTTTCATTTTTATTTAAAAACTAATATTTTAAATACTTCATTCAATATTTATATCATCAATGATTTGAGTTCAATAAATGTATGTCCAGGTCTTGAGCACTTGCCAATCGAATTGCAGAGGAATTTTACATTAATGCGAGACTTAGATGCCAGAGCCCAGAGTTTAATGAAGGACATCGACAAGCTAGCAGATGATTACTTGAGAAACATTAAGAAAGAGTCACCAGAGAAAAGCAAAGAACAGATCACTCATATCCAAAGCCTCTTTAATAAAGCCAAGGAGTATGGTGATGACAAAGTCCAGCTTGCTATACAGACTTATGAGTTGGTTGACAAACACATCAGAAGGTTGGACTCTGATCTGGCGAGATTCGAGGCAGAAATACAGGATAAGGCGTTGAACAGTAGCAGGGCCCAAGAGGAAGGTAATGCCAGCAAGAAAGGCAGAAAAAAATTAAAAGAGGAGAAAAGAAAGAAGAAGGGTAATGCAGTTAGCAGTGAGGACGAGTTCAAGGTCCCAAGGAAAAAGCAAAAAAAAGGTATGTTCTTTGTTTTCGATAATTGTTCATCTCAAATCTTTTCAGCTCGCAATTTTCATCTTATAAATCTCGTGATTATCTCGTAATTGCTACACAGACATAAACATATGTATTCACATCAGGTGGCTCCGCTGCTTCAGCATCATCTACTGGCGCTGTGGGTAGCGGTGCGCAGGTAGACGCAACAACATTAGGACACCCAGCTGATGTCTTGGATATGCCCGTTGATCCCAATGAACCGACTTACTGCCTCTGTCATCAAGTGTCATATGGTGAAATGATTGGTTGCGACAATCCAGATGTAAGTTCTTCAATCTACTTTTACTTTACAATTTGCAATTGTAACGTGAAAATTATTGCTATCGAAGAGAGATAATTGATATTATTCTTGTGTTATTTCTTGTGTTATTCTTAACAGTGCCCGATAGAATGGTTTCACTTCGCATGTGTGGGTCTAACTACCAAACCCAAAGGGAAGTGGTATTGTCCAAAATGTACACAGGATCGTAAAAAGAAGTAAAAATATTAGAATGTTACTTATGTCGTCACATATTTAAGAAAAAAGATTATCGTACACTATTTCTAAAATTAGAATGTAAATTTTTCAAATTTAGATGAATAAAATAATTTTATATGAAGGAAAGGTATAAAATTTTACGAAAAATAGAAGGATAGGACTGCATTTTCATTGCATCTATAATAATGTTGATCTTCGTTCGTTTCCTTGTCAATGTGACAAAACGCTTGCGAATCATTTATAATTTTCATCACTATAATAGGATTTTGCGCTGCAAGCTTTTTCTTCGTATTATATTAAAAAAAGGCCTGGAATATAAACATTCGCATCAGGGTCACATATCATATTTGTCGAACGATTCAATGAACTTTTATTGTCAATCTTAGATATAATGGAAGCACAATTAGGACGTAAATTCATCACAGGCAGGACATTTGAGAATCGACCGTCCTTGCTATCGCTTCACTTTCTCTTCATATATCAGAATAGTAATTTATTGATGCTAATGCCACTACATCAAAGAATTGCATTTTTTTTATACGTCCGTTTTTCTCGAAACTCTGTGATTTGCTAAATTACTATGATTTTCATGTGCGATGTAGCGCATTGCAAACGCGAGTAATAATTTTAATATTAGCATTATTGCGTGATATAAATATTATTTTTATGTTATATTTTATAGTTATAAATTCGATATATATACATTATATGTATATATACGTTTGTATATGTGGTGACAGAAAACTAGTACGTATATATACGTATATATCGACGTGCAAGAAAGTTTATATTGCAGAAGAAATATGCATATTAAGCGAATAAATGAAATTAAATCGAATATGATTGAAAAATATATATTTGGTTTATGGAAACGTAACTCCCGATAATCTATCTATATCCATCGCTAAATATTTACAAAATGTATTTACAAGCGTTGTCAGTTAATTATAGTAGTGTCGTGTAACAATTTCTCGAATAATATGTAGATCCAAATGTATACGAAATCGTCGATCGTCTCGATTATTAAAAGAACGTCGCGAGTTCGCAATTAACAACTCTCTACAGCTCTTTTATGTTGCTCAACAGCACTTATTAAGTCCATGTCAGGCTAGTTGTTGAATATCATATTGCGGAATCTAATTAGAAATTAGAATTCGACAAATTAACTAATTTCGATCTTAACTCTCTTTATCTGATTTTCAATTTCAGTATTGCTTTATACAAATTTTAGCATGCGCTTTTTGAGATTGTAATGGGCCATTAATCGTTCATAATCTTAATGTAATGCTACTCTAGCAAATATATAAATAAATAAGAATACTAGAAAAACGCTCAGCGCGTGCGATTACAAACTTACAGAATAAATAACGACGTGAGAATATTGAGCGAATATCAAAAGATGGGACTAGAACGATGCTTCTCTTCTAGCGTCTCAGGGAATACCCGACTGTCTGTTGCAGCATTGACTAGGCGGTGCGGTCCAGTTATACTGATAACTCATACGATTTCTCACTTCCTTCGAACATAACACCCCAGAAGCTTGATAATACTCATGCATGCTCTTCATATTCTGAATAGTTTGCTTGTGAGTGATTATGTACTGATTGGAGCAGCCGCGCGACCTATATTCCGTGTCGAAACGTACATCGTGTTTTCTCTCAATATTCGCCAATGGTGCTAACCAGAGACCAATGGACACGTCCTCCGAATTGTGCAGCCTGGAACGAAGTTAGCGAATGACTTTTTTTATCTCGAACGATATTCTCCGGTAAAACATGAATTTTCACCGAACGAAATTTAAGCAGAACTGGGGACTGATAAGTTACTTATAACACTCTTACCGTTCCAAGTTATTTCTTACAATAAAAGCTTATAAAGTGTGTGTGTGTGTGTGTGTGTGTGTGTGTGTGGTGTGGTGTGTGTGTGTGTGTGTGTGTGTGTGTGTGGACACACACACACATACAAACGGCGTTATTTCTTTTTCTTTATTTCTCGTTAATAACGGTAACGGATAAAATCGTTATTTTCTTTGATGAGTAAAAGTAACTTCGAAAAAAATTACTTTGAAAAAATAACTTTTCCAAGACGTTTCTTCCCAATAACGTTCCCAATAACGTTCCCAAGAACTTTCTCAGACGTTAAGGCGTGGATAAAGCATCAATGCTCACTTGAGGATATCCACGTTGCTTGCAATAAATTTGACCAGATTGTAGGATAAGACGTAGCCGCCTCCCAGAGCATACGGGAGATAATAATCACAGAGAATCCAATCAGTTTCTTTCCACGGACCACTCCTCTTCACCTGCGCCCGGCCGTTGAAGAAGCCCCAGTAGAGCTCTCGCCTGGTGCCCCTGTTCTCCCATCTGTCAAGTTCTTTCAGGATTTTGTGCACCAGCACGTAGGTGTCGTCGTCGCATTTAAGCAAGAAGTCAAAATCGTAACGCTCGTGGGTAGCCTTGAGTGCATGTAGCATCTTCTTCGTCAGCATGCTGTAGGAGTCTTGAAGTCTAGGTAACAGTAGCAGATCATTGAATTTATCCTTCTCCGACAGTAGCGTGTTTCTTTGTTCCGGCAAAATGTCCAGGGTGCCGATGACGAATAAGTGGCGCACCGTGGCATGGTAATCCACCAACCAGGTCTTGCGGATAGTATCCCGGCGTTCCAGATTGTCCGGGCTGCTAAGGATTAGAACGATCAGTCTGTATTTAGTTTTACTTTCTGTCTTGGAAGACTCGTTCGTCCAGCATCCTCGTGCCGGCAAGTAACGCACGCACAGGAAGACGAACGCCAACACCAGCACGAACAAAAATGCATTCGTACGGACGAATAATTTTCTGCGGCTCATTGATGTTAATTTCGGCGTGAGAGTGTAGTTCAAGTGCGTCATGAGATCACGTCAAGCTAGTGGCAATCTGGGCAATCTTGGATTCCGTTGAAAGGAATACTAAGAAAAATGAATATTGAATTTGAGGAGGACTTGTCGTGCCAGTCGTGATGAGATCTTGAATTTCCGCCGCTGGTGTCTTACATCGTTGTATTTTCCGTTCACTTCACGGACTCTGACTTCGTGGATACTTTGAAATGCCGGTTTTTCGACCGCTATTCTGACATAAAAGGTACCTGACTCTTTGTTTCTCTACAAAGGAAAATTTCGAGTTCTATTTGACACAAAGCAAACACTTCATCGGAGTTGCTCACTCATGAATTTAAATAATAGTTACGTGAATGAACACTGTTAAACTGTCAATGATCAGCTGAAGACGTAAATCAGCTGATCGACGACTTATTCCAGCGCCATTCAGCAAAATTCAGTTAGATCTGAATTAGAATACCGATAGACGATAAAATGTTGTTCATCCTAGTTGCATTTCGTCGTGACAGAGGTCCTTTTAGAACAACCAAACAATCCAACTTTTTTGTGATTTTGCTAAAAGGTTAGATGTTGCTAGTTAGATATTATTCTAAATTTATATTTTGCAACATTTTTTAAGAATTCAAGTTACTGTTTATTTCTCGAAATAGTTTAGTTGATATGATACTTGATTTTTAGATAATTTTGCTGTGCGATTATCAGTTACATGACACATTTGAAGGACATGGAGGTTATTGAATTGGTATCTGATGAAGATCAGTCAGACGGGACGGCAAATAAAAATAAATCCAAAGTATGCAACAGTAATTGCATCAATTTTAAGTGTGAGTCTGGAGTAGATATGATTCCAGCGCCTTCTTTTGCTTGCGCTTATTATGGGGTCACTAATGATAAGAAAAAGAAGAAACGTGTGATATGCAAAAAATGCTTTAGCACTGCTCTGCAGCATCAACAGGTATAAACTGTATATAATTTAATTTGAGATTATATATTATACATCAAGAATTATATAATTTTTACATACTTAATTACTATAATATATTAAGAGATGTTGGATACGTAGGCAGTCTGAAAAGTCCTCGACCTGACACATACATGGCATTAGAAACTCAAACTATAATTGTATTGGAAAGTGGCATCCCTGATATAAACCCATGTAAAATTTTATTCGATCTGTCAAATTATTCGAATAGAAATAGCACCAGTTGAAAAAGCTTTGTGCAAGATGGGTGCTAACAATTGACAAATTTGCTAACAATTGACCAAAAACACATTCGAATGCATATTTCTCAAGTGTGTTTGGATCGTTTTAAGCAAAATAAAATGGATTTCAAGCATCATTTCATAATTATTGATGAAACTTGGATCCACCACTATAGCGAAAAGAACCTTCCGGAATTACACTTTAACGATGGTATTGAATTATTGGAAAAACATTGGAATAAATGTATTGTTCAGTTAGTATGTAAGTTTCAGGAGATTATTGAAAAATAAAACATATTTCATGGCAAAAAAAATTTTCTTTCATTGTTAGGCCGAGAACTTTTCAGACTGTCCTCATACAATATTATGATAATTACAAGATATATATATTTACAGCAACTGGTAAGAGCCTTTATAGAAAATAAACCACTATTAAATTGTGACTTTCCGGATCATACAATGGAAGTTGAAATTTCTGATAGTGACGAGTCTGACACTGAAGAGAAAAAAGAAGGAGATAACGGAGGTATATTGAACTTCTAACATGTTATGTTTAAATTCCAAAAATTTGACAGAAAAAGAGTTAAATAAAATTAATTTTATAATACTGACTAATCCATAGATATCTAAGATATAGAAATTGTGACAGTTTTTAAAGCAAAAATATTGTTTCAGAACAATATATACCAGAAGATGTACTCTTAGATATTAAAAATAAATTAGATGATACATTAATGTATATCTCTAAAAAATATGATTTAAAACACCAAACTGAGATAGCTTGTAAGAGCCTGAAAGAGAAATGGAACTCTATAAATGGTAAAATTTTACTACAAATGTAAATTGCATGCAAAACATAATTTTTATTTCTATTTTGTAAGTTGTCTTACATTGTTTCTTTCAATAGCAACAAATGAGAAGCTTGATCTGGACATAAAAGGATTAATGAAAACCATGGACAAGTTGCGTAATGAATTATATGATGAATATAGGCCACAGATCAAGATGGTTGAAGAACTTCAGATAACCGATGGGCCTACAGAGACTCTTTTTCCATTTGTGGCAACAAAAAAGGTTACACAAGTACGCCATGCACCAATTGCAATGCCACATGACAATCAAGTGGAGATCTTACCAATTGAACAAGATAGCAATGAAATTGTAATTCCTAATTTACCTCCATGCGGGCCTCTTGTGAGAGCAATTCCGGATTTAAATAGCAACGTTTATGTCATGAAAAGTCCTCTCATGCCTTGGCAAAAAGCAAAGGTTCGCACGTGAGATATATCTGTAATATAAAATAATTTCTTCTCGTCTTAGACAATCTGAGCATGTTTAAAACAGCGATCTTCTTGCAGATCCATTGTATAGCTTCGAAAAATCCGTGGAGCGTTCGCGTGAGGATAATGCATAAAAGAGGCTACCCGGTTTTTAAGACTATTTACGGCAAACATTTAGCGTTAGCTCAGGCGAGTAAGGTTCTAATCCCGGTTGGGACACGAGTTGTTGCTATGTTCAATGATGTCATCGGCAGTAACTTCTACAGCGGAATAATTGCTGAGCCACCGAAATCTCCGAATAAGTACAGGTGAGTATTTTGCATAAATATCTTTGAGAATATCACGTATAGAGATATTCGTAAGCTTTAAAGAATCTTATTTTCGCAGATACTTGGTATTTTTCGACGATGGTTATGCACAGTACGTCACCCACGATGGTATCTATCTAGTTTTGGAGAACTCATTGCACGTTTGGGAAGACGTGCCCAGCGAATCGCGAGATTTCGTGAAAAAGTACCTGGAAACATATCCTGAGAGGCCAATGGTGAAACTACAAAGAGGTCAGATAGTAAAAACCGAATGGAAAGGCAAATGGTGGATCGCGAGGGCTTTACAAGTGGATGCGAGTTTAGTACAAATGTACTTCGATGCCGACGGTAGGACTGAGTGGATTTATCGTGGATCTACCAGACTAGGTCCGCTCTACCTTGAGTTGATGAAAGCTTCTGCGAGACAACAGGGCAACAAGACACACCATGTTACACCAATCAATGCACATAATCGATTGTCTCGTCTTCCCGTTGTCTCAAATGTACGTGAACAAGTAACTTGTATTGATGTGGAGAAACTTAATGTTGAAAGTATCAAAATAGGAGAAAGGAGAAAGGAATTTTTCACGCGTGATTATTGTATGTTCTAACAGAAAAACAATCTGCCTTACGTCGAGTATACGTCTAACGTGGAAGCGGATGAGGAAATAACACAGAATGCACGAATAACGAAAGCAACAGCCGCGACAAACGCAGTGCCTTATACATCGGCATCTACCGCACCAGCGTCTGCTGCACCGCAACAGTCACGAGCGGTAGCCAAGAAAAGTACAGCCAAGAGACAAAACAACACAGACAATGCAACAACAACAGCAGTAACAACGTACAATTCTCAAATGGAGATGAAACCACATCACAGTATCGTGGTAAGCAATTGTCATTAAATAGTTCCAAAATATTTACTATTACGTGACTATATTAATATTATATTTGTGTAGTAATTAGTCGATTCGATTGATGGAGTAAATTCTTTCGATGTTTTTCTATTTTCCAGTTTTACCATACCCAAAGAAAATACGAGCCGAAGAAGTACATTTCTCACAAATGCGGATCAAGATGCATTAAACACATCAAGATTTCGCATGATGATTTGAAGGGGCTGCCACCGCTCTCTATTCCCCTGTTGTGCGGCTGGCACCGACAGCTTTGTAAATTTTCCAAAACCAAGAAGGTGATACTGTATCAAGCACCTTGCGGCATCAGGCTGCGAAATATGGAGGAGCTGCACCGTTATCTTCGCACCACTAACAGTATCTTATCTGTTGATTTGTTTGATTTTGACTATTGGGTGCGTGCCTTCGCGGACTTCGTCGTGGAGAAATGTTTCATCAACATCAAAGTAAGTTAGCGTCAAAACATAGAAATCTGTCGAGATGTTGTTTTTCGGTTTTTTTGGTTTCTTTGGCGGTAAATCGACCATCTTTTATGATGAAAATATATGAATATTATCAGAAAGTTGGCGAAGGATCGTGGACAATGACGATGATTACTCATTTGATAAACTTCATTAAATGTAGTAGAGACAAAAGTAACCAAAAAATCGAATAAAATTTGTGATCGACCTATATAATATGGATAACGTATTAATTTTGTCTTGTCACCATCTGGAAGGATCTCAGTTACGGCGTGGAGAACGTGCCAATACCGTGCGTGAACGACTTGGACCACACCCAACCGGACACCATCAGATATACCACACGCAGAGAACCAACCGAAGGTGTCAATTTGAATCTGAATCCAGCATTCTTATGCAGCTGTGATTGTGAAGATGATTGTCAAGTATATAAAGCTGGACCAACGATTATCATTTGATAACGTGAGCTCGCTCTATCTCGCTTTACTAAGATATTTTGTAGGACAAGACCAAGTGCCAATGTTGGCAATTAACGATACAAGGAGCAACTTTGGGTGGCAAGGTTCCGGATACCGCTGTTGGCTATGTTTATAAACGTCTACCCGAACCAGTGACCACTGGAATCTACGAGTGCAACTCGGGATGCAAGTGTTCAGTGAGAACGTGTCTAAACAGAGTAGTCCAGCATCCTCTCGGATTAAAATTGCAGGTGTTTAAAACCGGACCACGTGGTTGGGGTATAAGATGTCTCAATGACATTCCTCATGGCGCTTTTATTTGCATATATGCAGGCAGGTTGCTCACTGAACAGGTACTCACTGACAGTTAGGATCTAATTACTTACATCTACCCGTATACCAATGTAACCATGTTGTTTTCTTTCTTATCGTTTCTTGTCGTACAGGGCGCGAACGAAGGTGGCAAAAATTATGGTGACGAATATCTAGCCGAGTTAGATTATGTGGAGGTTGTGGAAGGTATTAAGGAAGGCTATGAAAGTGACGTTCTCGAAACAGAAGAGTCAATGTCACCCACGGATGATCAAGAGAAGGACGACGTCTTGAGTGACGAGGAAGACACTTCGAAGGAGAACGCCAATGATTCGGACGAAGATTATATAACCAATTATCTGAGAAGGAGAAATTTGTTTGAAACATCGGAAGCTTCGTCCATCAGGTATTCATCGCGTTAAGTTTGAATTCTATTACATTCTATTACATTCTTTCTCGAAATATTGCTATATTGATAATAACTCTACTTTATCCGTGCAAGTAGCTTACATTGAACACTTAGCAAAAAAATATAAGAATTTTGTTATCAGAAAGCGTTTGAGAAAACGAAAAAAGAAGAACATGAGAGATCCACCAGAGAGTTTCGAAGAGAGCAGCGAGGACGGAATCACTATAAAAGACTCAGAGAAATCTTCTGCGAATGAGAATCGTTTAGCGGATCAGGATGGGGCTAATGGAAGTGATGACGAAGATAGTAGAAACAATTTAAGAGAACCGAGTAGATTCGAACCGAGTGTAGATGCAACGCAAATAAAAAGATCGGCATTCAAGTCTGTAAGAGACTTTTTCGGCGAAGATGAGGCTGTTTATATCATGGATGCCAAAACGACTGGAAATATCGGTCGTTATTTAAATGTAAGTAAACGGTTTATTAGGTAAATGTCAATATGCTCAATTATTGCTATGGTTAAAATAAAGTTTCAACACATTTAACTTCTTAATTATGTTTAAAAAAGTTGTACTGAAAATAGAATAAGAGAGTAAAATAAAATTATTCTTGTTTTAATAATACGATGCTTTGAGTGCTGAAACATCTTTTGAAATATCCCATTTTTTTATGAACTTTTAATAATAATATATAAAGTGTCCTTATTTATATGTGTGTCACTTTTTTACAGCACTCCTGTGACCCAAATGTCTTCGTGCAAAACGTTTTCGTCGATACGCATGATGTACGTTTCCCGTGGGTGGCATTCTTCGCACTACAGTACATAAAAGCCGGCCAAGAGCTCACGTGGAATTACAGTTATGATGTAGGCAGCATACCGGGTAAAGTGATTATTTGCAAGTGTGGTGCGGCTAACTGCAGAGGCCGTCTTTTATAAGCTGTGCGTTTTATAGGTGGCTTTTTAATCGGTGAATCTTTTCTTTACAAAAATAAAGTTCTCACTGACATCGTTAATTGATAGTGTATCGTTAATGATAATGCATCGTTAATGATATGTATCAAAAGTATCATATCATTTATCATTATTTATTTTTACTGATATCTGTGTTATGTAAACACATAAACTGAGATGCATTATACGTATGAATATGTGTGTTCTTAGAGATTTTGTACAATAATTCGTAATATGCGTGACTATTTCTGACAAGTTATTTAGAAAAAATATGCTATTGATATAACTATTTATATTATTAAAGAACATAAGATTTTATAGTATGTAGAAAAAGTAATTTCTTTTTTTTTTAAGGACAAGGTTTGCGTAGTGATTCATCATATGTAGAACTTAAGGAAAGAAAGCAATATATTCATAACAATGAATGAATGTATTTGCTTGTTACTTTTGATTATTGTACATTCTTAGCATTCATTAGATACGTTATATGTTGGTAGCATTACAAAGACACTATTTCTTTGATCATAATTTACATATATCTCGTTGGAAAACTCAACTCAGCATACAAGAGAGTTTTTTCAGCACTTTGCTCAAACGCACAAGTAATCACCCGTCCTTGCGACGAGAAAATATCAGATTAAAATGGAATAGTAACAATTCAATAACCGCACGCGTATGTGACATAAAAATGTATAAAAAGGTTCCCCAAGATTTATAAATTAATAACAAAGACAATGTAAAAATCGTATGTACTGTCTTATAGAGAATATATCAAAATACATTATATATATGTGTTTTTGTATGTGTGTGTGTGTGTGTGTGTGTGTGTGTGTGTGTGTGTGTGTACGATTGTTAAGTTTAAATTAAAACTAATCTTCGTAATCGGTCTTAGCTACGAAAGAACAATATCATTATTACAAGAATCTGTAGACTTATGCATATATTTAGAACCATGAAGAATTAACCGCGCGAGAATATATATGAGCTTTTCATTATACATTCTTGACACATGTAGTATATTTTATTATTGTTATATCATTATTAGAAAAACAGCATCCACATACCTATGTTCATTAATTTAGAGTGCTTAAATACTCCTAATGGCGAAAAATCAAAATTAAGCTGTGGTGGAATATTATCTCTCTTTTTCTCTCACTTTCTCTATAAGGAACATTAATATACTAAAATAACAAAATTATGATTCTGCATTGTGTTTGGCTTTATGCTAGTGGAGTTTCAGGAGCTGTTTAATCTCATCTTTCTCGGCTGCATCTAGATAGCTTGTGCCATCTGGTGTTAAACCATCTGGCTTAGCACCTTTCTCTAGCAGCAATTTTACACAATTTGTATGTCCTTCCCAGATTGCTGCCAATAATGTTGTGATTCCATGCTTGTCTGTAGCCTGTGAAAGATAATTTTACTATTTAGATATTTCTTAACAAGTATTATTATCACAATATTATACATGATATATTTAATTAAGGATAATTAATCATACAAAATTGTTAAGCAATGTATAATCCCTTGATTATAATATTAATTGTTAATGATGTTACTTGTTCTAATTATCTCAGTTAGTTATTAAGTTTTAATATTTAATTGTAACTTACATTAGCATTTGCTCCTTTCTCCAGCAAATATCTGACAACTTCACTTTGACCATAATCAGCTGCATAATGTAACGGAGTTCTTCCATCAATCATTTGATTTACATCAATATTCTAAGAATGACAGTAGAATAATAATTAGTTAGCAACAAAATATGTTTACTTTTTGACAAATAAATTACTATTATTAAAAAAACTATATAATATAACAAAATCCTTTATTGTTTAATTAAGTGTTACTATAACAGAATTTAAATCATTCTCTCTCTCTCTCTTTCTTTCTATATATATATATATATATATATACACACATATATACTGCCTTTATATATATATATTTATATTATATATATATATATATAAAGGCAGTAAAATACTTAATATTTTATATATTAGAATTATGACATGAACAAATAATAATTCAGCTACAAATGAATAATATTGGACATGAGAAATTTTACAAAATTCATATTTCAATATCTCTTATGAGATATTGTATTAGCATTATTTTTTTCTACAATTTATCATCTATTAATAAAATAAATCATTAAATCATGATAACGATTTTACACTCTAATATATACTAATAGTTCTCCCAAAAGGCTCAACATTACTGAATCATTACCATTTTTATATTGCTCATCCAGGATTAAGATTATGGAAAATAAAATTCGAAGCTTCAAGTTGCGTGTACGAGAGAAAAGACAAAATTTGTCAGATAAAAGTGAAACATGCTGATGCACTCGAGGTGCGCTGTAATTACTCGTGCATGCAAGTGCTTCCGACATCGAGATGCGTTATTACTTCCTAATTATTCGATAGCTTTTCGGCGTATCTAATAGTCTAGAATGGGGTGTTATGCTTAGCATACGGCACGATCGGAGTGTGTGCAAACAATTTTTACGAAAACGTTATGATCGACATGTCATATTTGCCTTGTTCTCGACGATATCTCGCACTTGTTCAAGATCGCCATTCTTTATTCCCCAAACAAGCTCGCTCATTTTCGTCGTCGTTTTTGCGGGCTCACAGACACGACGAACAGTACACCGCGTACTTCCACTTTTCCTCTTATTCGTTTCGTGCCTCAATCATTCACCCATGAAATTTGACGAAACACCGTGAACCCACCAACAGAGTTTCGTTGTGCGCCTGCTGATAGCTGTGAGCGATGCCAACCTACGGGAATCAAATGTTAATTTATTTCACTTGCACCTTCTCTTCACGGTGTATGTACTTTCTTACAATATCAGCAATTTTTATAAATTTTCATTTCCTCCCTCTTGCTTTCTTCATTGTTGAGATATATATGTCACATTTTTAAGCGCAGAAAACATAATTAGTACTTAAATATAGAATATTCATTTTTATTTATGTCCGTTCGTTCTTTTGATTTGTATTTCGTTACACTTTCTACATTTCAGATGACAGAAGAGTATATTTGAAAGTTGCAGAAAAATAACACGAGTTGCAGAAAAAGATTACAAAAGAGTTTTGAGATCTTAAACGAAAAGAAAAGAAATTTTGTCAAATATTTACAAATATAGACTTTTAAAGAACAATTTTTACATGCACAGTCTTGTTGTCAGTTTGAAATCCATAAGTTGACCATCGCTAAATCACATGGAATAGCGATTGACTTCAGATAATTGCGACTAATGTTGCGAGATGAAATAATAGGAAGCAGTACAATACTGTACCATGAAGCATATGTATGTATGTGTCTTATTATCTGTCTGTTAGCTACATTCCATTAAAATTAATGTTCATACCTAAGTTCTTTTTCGCAGGACTTCTGAATTAATGTAATGTTGGAGTGAAACAGATATTTTCTCTCATTCTAACTTGCACTAAGTGCACTAGGTCAAAAGTTCTTCGAAGAAAAGCAAACCCTAAGGGCAAGAGCACAGGCTTTTGCATAACGCATAATACATAACGCATAAGAGAATAAACCAATTAGTTTTCTTCATTTCCCTCCTCAGGATAGAAATGAAGAACTCTGATTGGCTGATTCTCTTATGTGTTGTGTATTATGCTTTATGCAGAAGTTTGTGCTCTGGTCCTATGTTTTCATGTAGACTGCATTCTTATTTTGTTGCGCATGCGTAAACAGCTTACTACCTAAAGCCACATACCGAACTGCACTGAACTGTAAACAACCTATTCCATATTATAGTTCATTGTAATGTGGCCGGTTAAGTGCGATTAAGTACTGTTGATTAATAGCATTTTCAGTATTCATAAATCAGTAGCACGATATGTCGAGGAATGTCATAGAATTGCAGCGTAAGTAGTTGCTCAGAAACAAGTGTAGAACTTGTACAAAAATCTGTATATATATACGTATATTGTGTGTAATATGATATATAAATTATATACTGAATGATCACTGAATGTATATATATATATAGAATGGCGTTTTGTATTTTATAGATATATTATAGTATTTTATTATTGTATATTAAAAAGTTATATTGACAATTTTATTTCATATTAATAGGGAAACGGTTGATGGATGCTTTCCAATGTGATTGTCAGACATTATTAACACGTTTCGAATTAACTTACAACACTCACTTTCAAAATTTCTGTGAAATTTGGAGAGAGATGCAGTTCTCATTGATATTTGAGTAAGTATTTAATTTTTCTGTAAAAGATAAAGATATTAAGACAATATGAAATTTTTTTATAAGAATTTTTTTTTTAGAAATTGATTACCTAATGTTAAGTATATGAGACTATTGGAGAATGATTAATAAAAAATTTGTAGGTGTCAACCCTCTGAAATAATTTTAAGAATTTTTTATGAAAATGCTCTTCATATAACAAAACAGTTTATGGTGAATGCATCTAATCTGAAAGAACGTATTGGTGCTCTATATCTTATGTACAGTGTATATTATATGGTAACAGATAAGGCAAAATTTAGAATGACTTTGTCAGACTGGAAATGTTTAATGGATCTACATCAGAAAGTTAAAGTGGAAGAATATCTCGATGCTAACTATATTTTGTGTAAATTAATTGTTGATCGTGCATTTATCCACTGTCTTAGCGACATTGAGGTATGTATCTGTTTTTTAATCTTTCCAAACTACTGATGCCAAATTACAACAGTTAGTTGAAATATCATTAAATATCATTGTATCTTAATGTTGTTATAAAATTATATATTAGTACTAATTAAAACTTAATAGCATATAAATACAAAGTAAAGTTTTGTTTCTGACTCTACACAGATGATTCAAACACATATATTATTAGATAATTCCATTAAGAAATATATTCTTAACAGCCATCTAATAAATTAAAAGCATCTTGCTATGTATCTGCTTACAGTATGGTATTGAGAAACATTCCCAAAAGAACATGGCAGGATTTGGAGTAGAATATAACTTAATGGCAGAGATCAAAGAACTGGCAGCACCTTGGAAGTTGTTATCAACAATCAACGATTTAAGCAAAATATATGAGGAAAAGAAGCATATACTTTTCAACGAGGAAGAAATTTCTAGTGTACAACTTTATAATTCAAAGATGGCAGATGATATCATCAAAAGTATTCGTACAATGCAATCAAAGAACACAATACTTTCCACAAATATTCTTCAGAACACCTGTAGTGATGAACCGATACCGTCAACGTCAACGTCAACATCAGAGTCAGCGTTAGCGTCAGCATCAACGTCGTCATCAATGACATCAGTGTCAACATCTGACAGCCAGAATAGTCAGCTAAGAAACAAAAAACGGTGAGTAATATTCATAAATATCAAAATTTCTCACGATGCTACATGATAAGAATGGTATTTTACACAAGATAATATAGCATAAAAAAATGTTATACATTTTCCTTTGATAAAAGTAGATTCAGAGAAACAAGTATATACAGTATCAATAGCTGTATATTTCCCAATATACAGGGTGTCCCATTTAACCTGACAAATCGTAATATCTGGAAAACTACATGTCGGATCAAAAAATGTGGGTAATGAAATTTGTTCGTCTCGAAGGGGGACATCCAATGATATCAAACTCGACCTCCCACCCCACTCCCGGGGGATGGGGGCGGGGGAAACTTTGAAATCTTAAATGGGAACCCCCATTTTTTATTGCAGATTCGGATTCTACGCCACAAAATACGTAAGTTTCATCCGAAACTTTTTTTTTTTTATTCGTGATAGATGGCGCTGTAATCGCAAAAAATTATATTTTCTGCAATTCTCCAGAAATGATCATTGGATTGAAAAATAAAAAAATACCTGTTCAATATTTTTAAAAATATTTTTAAAAAACAACAGTTATTCCCCCCCATCCCCTCGGGGTAGGGTGGGTGGTAACGTTCAAATCTCAAATGAGAACCCACATTTTTCATTGCAGAATTAGATTTTACGTGAAGTTTTTATGGAAACATGTTTTATGGAAAATTGTTTCCATAAAAACTTCACGTAAAATCTAATTCTACAATGAAAAATGTGGGTTCTCATTTGAGATTTGAACGTTACCACCCACCCTACCCCGAGGGGATGGGGGGGAATAACTGTTGTTTTTTAAAAATATTTTTAAAAATATTGAACAGGTATTTTTTTATTTTTCAATCCAATGATCATTTCTGGAGAATTGCAGAAAATATAATTTTTTGCGATTACAGCACCACCTATCACGAATAAAAAAAAAAAGTTTCGGATGAAACTTACGTATTTTGTGGCGTAGAATCCGAATCTGCAATAAAAAATGGGGGTTCCCATTTAAGATTTCAAAGTTTCCCCCGCCCCCATCCCCCGGGAGTGGGGTGGGAGGTCGAGTTTGATATCATTGGATGTCCCCCTTCGAGACGAACAAATTTCATTACTCACTTTTTTTGATCCGACACGTAGTTTTCCAGATATTACGATTTGTCAGGTTAAATGAGACACCCCGTATAGTTATAGTACTTTTTCGTATATATATGTGTATATATATATATATATATATATATATATATATATATATATATATATAACAGTTGCTCCAAATTTTTATTTATCTATATTTATTTTCTTATTGTATTATATATTACACCTGTGAATTGTCATAGTTCAGAATTTATTGATTATAATAATAATTCTTCAATAGCCGACTACATATACAACGTCGAAAAAAATTGATCCTGGCTAAGATAGGCAATGCATTCGAAACAGCACTACAATCAGAATCTGAGGAAGAAACACACATGGAAATTGATTCTGATATAGATCCTTTGGAAGGCGTGTAAAGGAAATTTAATTGTTTTAGAGGACGAAGCAGGATTATAACTAAAAAATTAACGGTAATAAGTGAAAGACAATTTAGTAATGAAAATTATGAATTTTTTTTTACTCGCTGGTCTTTGATTGGGATTCACTGCACAGGGCCATAGAATAAATTTATGTTCTCTATTGTCCTACTGTAAACATAATGAATCAGTTTGTTTTAATAAGAAAATATTAACTGTAAGGTAAAAAACAAATATATATATATACATATTTTTGAGATGAATTATTTTTTTATTGTGAAAACATTTGTAATGTCATGAAAATCATAATAATTAGATGTTAATTTAGCATAAAAAAGGAAATGCTGTACTCAGTTGAATCTATCACAAGGCACAAAAAATCTATATACGACAGACAATGTAATTCAATTAAATTACTAAACTGTAGCATGCAATTCGAGTAAATCCATAAACACGAAAGTGTAGACATAATTAAAAAGTCCATAATATAACAGTGGTTTAACCCACTTTCTCAAGAACTTCAAAAAAGTAATTCATTTAAGTTTGTTTTCAGATTTATCTTTTCTACAGATATTTGAAAAAAATTAGCTAAGCTGTTGTTTTACACTAAATTCTTCAATTTCATCCCAAGTCACTAAATTGTACTATGCATTAAGACATGCTTTCTTTTTATGAAACACACAAATACACAAGAGTTGGTGATCAATATTTGGTTTTTTCTTTTACAAGTCTTCAAGAGATTCAGTTATCAAATAGTTTTTCGAACTACTTCAAGGTGAGAGGATTACATGTGGAAAATAAGTTTTCAAGACGTCCAAGATCTTTCCAAATCCCCGACTTCGAATATCATTCGAAATTCCACAAGCTTCATAGATACGCTTACGATGATATCGCTAACGTTTATCAATGTTCTTTCAAAAACGAGGAAGAAAAACCTCAGCGATCATAAATCACAATATCCGCGAGGCTCTCTTCTAGTAAACCTTCAACTGATTATTATCGTCAAAGCCAGCACTATGTCCCGCATTCCTCACGATAAAACTGGTACCGTCGTAGTGCATGCGGCGCTCGCCACGACGCACGAATAGATGCGAAGAAGTTTGGCCCAAGGAAGCGGTGCAGTGTAAGAAGGGCGTAGTCACGGATGCCGTACCGTTGCTGGGCGATGTACGTAGTTGATATTTGTTACTGTTCCGTGCAATCCTATTGCATAACAGATTTGATAAAAATATTTAAAATTATGGATGAAATTAGATCTTTTAATATTGTTAAAGAATACAAATATTTTATCTAATTTACATACTGTTGAAAACATTCCGAAACTTTGATGACGCTATTCTGTTTCTTTCTAAGTCTTAATTTATTATAATGATACCACTCGACTAATCTTTTGATTTTGAAATTCTTAGGTCATAACGAACGAAACGCGAATACCTGACGAGACCATCTGGAGTTTGGGATACTCTGACGTTGTTGATAATCCAATTCTCAACGCCTTCTTCCGTTTGCCAGTACTCAGCCATACTGAGATGTCCCGCGGCTTCCTGCAGCCATGCCGGTCCATAACGGGAACCCGTGTAGAAGACATTCAGCGAGAAATCCTGTAAGTCAAGCCACAGTAAGTCTGCTATAATTTTCCACAAATATTTATATATAGGTCGAAGTATTCGATAAAGGAAAATGTTTCTTGTTAAAAATATTCATATAACCATGTAAAAAGGGGAACAATTTGAACGACTAATCAAACGACTTAATCAAATACTCAGATATCTGTAAATCCAAAGAGAATTTATAATCTTTGTTTGAATATGCGCTAATCTGAAACCTGACTCATGTCCGAGAAGGAATCTGTGGTGGTCCTAGTCCCAGCCGTATCAACCAGATAGACGAGCGCACATTGCTCTGACGTGAAACTAACTCCTTTATACCACATCTTCGCGTACCTGAGAGGAGAAGCAGGTCGGCCGAAATTAAAGCGATCGCTTAAGCATGGAGAAAACCTAGACTAACTTATTGTTGCCGTGTGTATCATGCGCGACGATCTCCACTCGTGATCCATACTGATATATCCTGCCGTTCGGATGTAACAAGGCGGCGTCTGCTCCGCGGCCGCTCAATGACAGAACTGTGTTATTCTGCAAGAGACGACACATACATTTAAATTTAATCAATTGGCATTGTACGCTTAATTTTTATTTTTAACACGTTGGATGCCGTGATGGTCAACGGTGCTATTATATTAAGAAATCTCGGATTAAATAATCCAGGAAATCCGATGTTGGTTGCATTCATTTTTTCATACTTTCTCTACGAAGACTTTATCGTACTAGTAATGAATGAATGAAATTAAGATTCTTTTAATATGAAGATTCTTATATTAATATAGTATGCCTTTACAGGGAATCACCTTGAAATTGATGACTCTAACGGCACGGTCGATGGTCATGTCTACGCGTATTCTATTGTGCAGTCGTAAAGATATAGTGCCGTGAGGGGTTGCGACGATGCCACCTACACTGGCATCGGCGGCATCATGCTCTCTCCAGTTCTCAGTGTAAATGGAGGACTCCTCGGTCGTATAATAAGGCCCGCCCGAGATCGACTTCCTGGCCTGTCGCCAAATTGCCGCCGATCCCGAGTATGCTGTAGTTGCTGTGCCACCCAAGCTGCTCCATTGATCCGCCGGAGGCTCAAAATATTTAGACAGCTCACCGTATCGCTGATAAGATCGTTCCGAGTGAAAAAGGTCAGTGATCAGACGCATAAAGTAGCATGATAATGAATTTCTATTTATATCATATATAGTCCTGATAAACGACTTATACTCGACGCATTCTAGAAACCCCACCAATCGTTCATTTTATAGAAAAATTGTATAAATATTAGAGTGCAAAAGACACAAGATCTTAAAAGTTCTATTAAAGTATTTATTATAGTATTTCAGATTCTAGAGATTCATTTTTTATTGTTCTCTGTATTTTCTATTAATATTTATTTTTTTTTAATTAATGTGTTCAGATTAATTTTAAATTATTTTTTTAACCATTTTCTTTAAATTCGTGTATTCTGTTATTTTATTTCATATATTTAAATATTCTTGTTACAAAATTGTGTCTTAGATTTAAAATAAGATAAAAATAGATTAGTATTAATAATGTTCAAGATTTAGGTACTTGAAAATTGGCATCCTCGGATTGAGGATGATAATTATGTGCGGTATAGAGAGATCGAGGTCGCATGGTCGTAGTTGAACTAGTCTGATTTTGTATCGTTGTCATCGAGTAGGACGGTGTCGTCGGCATTGTCGGCAAGGCATAAGACTTGTGTATTTCTTTCCGCAATTCGTTGCAGGCATTCGTCGTTCCTTTCACCTCGAAAGATACAGAAATAGTTGAATTACAGGCGAACCAATTAACATTTCTCGTGAAGAATTCAATTTTGAAAAACCCATCTTGAGGTTGAAGATGTTTTTTAACTTTTAGTTTAGATTTTGCTGGAAAAATGACAATGACTCGTTGCGGACAAAATTATAAACGCAAACAGAAGAAAAATCCGCGTGAGAGCTATATGGAAAACGCACTTTGGTGTCACCGGCAGCGTTCTTCGGTTTCTTGCGCCGGGACTTCCGGTGCTTGGTAACCGCCGCTTGGCCGGCCTCGCCTGCATGATCCACGGCTGAGGCGATTTCAGGTTCCCGGGAGACATGAACGCGCGTTTCAGCGCCACGACTATTTGCTCGCATGAAGCCTGGGTACAAACGAAAAGACGCTGACGCGATAGATCTATGCCGTGTTGACGAGCAAGCGTCTCGCTATGTCTTCTTCGTCGTCCTGGTGATCCGCTGAAAAACAACTGATGATCTGACGGCGTTCTCGTGGCCAATGTTCTCTGGCTTGTGATCTTCATTTGACGATTCAGAACGCGGAAAACAACGGAGACAATTTTCATCGGAAATTGATTGCAAAATAACTCTCTCATATTTCCGAAATATAACGTGTAATTAGGTTTTCCAAGACAGATTCATTCGTCAATCGACTATCGTACGTCTGTGTTCTATAACCGTGGCATGCGCATGTCGATGTCCTTCATAATGATCTTACACACTTGTAATATTAAATCGTTATCGTCAATGTTTTATTTATGATCATTGCCTGTAATTTTTCAGCCGTACATTTTGCGATAAACTTACACGACTTACATGCAAGTCCCGGAATACACGACACACCGTGTTTTCACTGCGGGAATCTTTTTCATGTATCGAATGCTGTGTGTGCAGAAGTAGGAAAAAACTCTTCTTTTGTGTTATTTTCGCTCTTCGTTTCTTACGAGAATACATATATCGTATGTGTGTGTCACGGGAATTATACTAGCTTTAAAAAGATCTAACATTATCTTGCGAGGTGAGACGAACGCTTGTTTTGAGACATATGTTTTGTAAGAATGTAAAGTCAGTCGTGAAAAATTGCAACACTGAAAAAAAACGCCTAAGGCAGTTCAATAAATAATGCTTAATATGTGGAAAATTTCACGTTGCATGTTGTCAAGATTCAAATCGTAGACGCACGTACGAGTCTTATGTAATATGCACATGCATATTACACAAAATTCGACTTGAGACATCGTATACATCATTACATAATTGTTTCTTCTTGCGCAACATGAAATTATAATAGCAATTATTGAAGCGTTATTATGGCATGCAGGTGGGGTTTTATTAGAAGAGTAATAACGTAAGAAAATGGAAAAAGAGAGACAGAGAAACAAGGGGAAAAGAGAGACATAGATGAGGAAAATACTCGCAATAAGCTTTAATTTGTCATGACTTCATGCGCCGTTACAGTAATTATCGGGAAACTTTGCAAATGCTTAATGCGAATCGTTTTTTGCAGAGTGGGAATGCGCGACTTTATCTGCGCGCACGTGTCGCCGATTCTCTCAGTGTATGATCGTGTATACAACTCCACGTGTCCTCCAGTCAATGCCGCTCTATTTGCGAGCCAATCAATCAATCAGCCAATCTTCCTGGTCTACGATTAATTTAAAATGATTCTTCCGGCACTGCATCTTCTCGTGCTATTGACAACAGCGATAGGTAAATATTTTTATTTTCTTCTTTCCATGGGCTGTATTGTGTTACATTTTAATTAAATGCACTTCAGGATGTAACGTGGATTTTTTTCCAAACTGACATTAAAGTAGTTAATATTGTTGATGAGATATGGCTTTGTTTAGCGATTAATTCGCAGCGGTATCTGATGCATATTTCGCACGATTTCTTACTTCCAATGATTGTATATTGATCGTTTGGGATGGTGTATAATATTTACACTTTATTAAATTTATTGTTTCCTTTGTACATTCAGTAACTTTTGATAATCAGAATCTTCGTATTTTAGGAACGCCATTGTTTTCCAAAGTTACGGAAAAAAAAGACTCGGCAGAACCTGAGATGAAAAAGGATACTTTGCGACTTATCATAGTGGTATATACATGTATTAAATTCGTGTAGAAATGTCATCAATATTTGTAAGTTTTTGCTATTCATAAACTGAAAGTTTAACAGATAAATAAGAAACAAAAACGGACTCAAAGATAATTGTAATTTAAGATAAATGATACTTTTTACATAGAGATACAGCGTATGATTCCGCTATTGACTTCATTTTTTCATTTATTTCATATTTTAACGCTAAACTCTGTTTTTATTTCAATTTCCTAATTTAATATTTTTTACTCATGATTAATATACATATATCGTTATCTCGTTCATTAAGATAACAGTTTCTCCTTAAGATAACAGTTTTTCACACATTAAAAATAAATTATATTAAACACTTTTAATAATTTATGATGATCAAACAATTTACATCTCAATTATTCATGAATTTTTCGTTATCGGTATCAAATAAGATTAATATAAGATATATTTTTAGGTAAAGAAGAGATCTAAACGAGATCTTTTCGATCGCGTCTTATCAATTCATACTACCTCATAGTCATTATCTTCAAAGTTAGCAACTCTCATTGTAAAGTCGGACGAACAGTTAAATTGTATTTGTTTCAGAATTAACATTATCACGGGAATGACAATCCTCTGTACATATTTTTCTCACTTCAATTTTATTTAAAACAAATGCTGACCTAGATTTTCATTATTAAATCAGCTCGTCAAATAGAATCTTATTTATCGGATATATACAGGGTGTCCCAGAACAATTGTGCCACAGCTCATGAGAGTGTACAGTGGATTAAGACGAACAAAGTCCTATATCATTTTGCGATATTCGCAATAATTGTCAAGTTATTAATTATATAAGTCGAATGAATGAGCGAGCACAAAGAAGTAAAGGAGGAGCATTTCACAAAGGAGTCGTCCTCGGACTGCGCAGCCTAGTCGTTCTAGCAACTGTTACTGACATATAACAAAAGGAAGGACATCACACCACTACATGTGTGTCTAGCTCGTATTCGCAGTTATAAGGTCATTTTATGAGACAGCAGAAGTGGTTCATATTGAAACTATAACAAGTTTTGTGATAAGAAGAAAATCGGAAGATCTTTCAATTTTTTTTACTAAGATCTTTCAATTTTTTTTATCACAATTTATTACGGCTTCAACATGAGCTATTTCTGCCATCTCTCATAAAATGATCTTGCAGTTGTAATTGCGAATATTTAGCGGCCATATCGATGTGACCATATCTTAGGCGAGAGTGCGGCGAGATAAGCACATGTGTAGTGGCGCGATATGCTTCCCCCCGCCGTGCACCGACAACAGTTGCTAGAACAATTAGGCCGAGAAACGACCTAAATGTTCCTCTCCTACCACCTCGGTGCGACCTCATTTATCCGACTTCTATAACTAATAACTTATATAATGTCGCAAAACGGTATGGGACTTTTTTCTTTATCTTAATTTATTCTACATTCCACCCAATTGTACATACAAAGTGTATACAATTGGGTACCTTGTGTGTATGTGTGTGCATGTATTTTTTTACGCGTTATCGAATGCCACCATATTACGTTATGGATTATTTATATTATATAATGTAATCTAATGGTTTCTTGATTTCGAGAAAAAATTAATATTCGCGTGTGAAATTTTTCTGCTTGTAGGTAACAAGACATGGCGAGAGAGCACCTGAAACTACTTATCACAACGATCCTTATATCAAGAATCCCATGGAACCTTATGGCTGGGGTCAATTAACAAATGTAAGTGTTTTATTATTCTTTTCCTCGAACCAAGTCCATTGTATGAAATGAATTTAATCACTATTAATTGTGATAGGAAGGAAGACTAAATCAATATAATCAAGGACTGTTTTTGCGAGAACGTTACGATGGCTTCTTAGGAACTTCATATAGTCCCAATATATTCTATCTGCAAAGTACGTACGTAGGTCGTACGAAAATGTCAGCCATGTTAGAAGCTGCTGCTTTATGGAAGCCTAATAAGGAACAATCGTTCAAATCCGATCTACCTTGGCAACCAGTCGTACTGTTCTATCAAGAACAATCGGAAGACACGGTAAAGTACTTAAGTACACGGTAAGACTCTGTAAACATCTGTCTAGACGATTCGATATCACCAAAGTCGTATCACTGCAAGAATAAGTCATGTGATATGCCGATCGATTTCTGACGTCATGATTCTATAGACCAGCAATTGGATGGAGAATTTCTTTTTTGCCGAAATTTTTATCGAAATATAAATACAGTGTGTATTTTTCAGCTTATGTTAGTGTGGAATACATGTCCAAAGTATACTCAGCTACGCAATTCGGTGAACGACTTGCCAGAAGTCCAGACAGTATATGAGAATAATAAAGTATTGTTCGAGGAGCTCACGAACTTTACGGGCATGCCAATTGCTAATGCAGATGACGTGAGTTCGTTCTATGCTACTTTAGTAGCTGAGGTAAAACATTTTGAATTGTTAGCAGATACGTTATCGGTTTAATCACTTCGTTGATTGCAGTCAGTAGTCAAGTTCTAATGATTATATAAGTGGTTGTCATACATATCTGTTTACTCGCTAAGAGTTTGTCATGTGAGTCACTGCTGGATGTGGTTATCAACCGATTTCAGTGTTTAATAAAAAAATTAATGAACTGGAATTTAAAAGACATTTCAGTCTTTATATATATATATAAACTAATTCCGTAATAGTAACTTCGCTAGCTCTCATCAACTGTAATCAATTTATAAATCATTAGTTTTCGATTTATTGTATAGTAATCGCAATCATATTACTGTTGCAGAAAGCAATGAACTTGACTCTGCCGGAATGGACGAAAGATTATTATCCTGATAAGTTGATACCTCTGACCTTGTACTCCATGCAATTTAACACGTACAATAACGAGTTTCGCAAATTGAAAGGCGGCCCCATGTTGAAGAAGTTCACCAGCGACATGTTGGCAAAGAAAAAAGGCACTTTAAAGCCTGAGCAAAGAAAAATGTTCATGTTCGTTGGTCACGATAGCACTATCGTCGATTTGATGAACACAATGCACATTTGGCACAATCAGTTACCGCACTATAACATTATGATAATGATAGAACTGCATGAGAACGAGGGCGAATGGAACGTTCAGGTGAGCGATTAGAACTCTCTTCATCAGTCAAATCAAATTTCTAAGTTTAGTTGCTCTGACGAATTTTGTCATTTTGAATGTTCTTCAATATTGGAAAAATTAAAAATATAATGAGAATCTTAGAAGAACTTTATATAATAAATGATTATAAATATTGAATGTTTTCCATATTTTGCAATTTTTCAACTACAGATTTCATTCGCCGGTTAATTCATCGGGTTATTGTTTCATTGACGAAATTATCAATCTTCACAGTAAAATTATGAATTTCAACGATTGATCTGTGAATATTTCTATCGTAGATATTTCTACGAAACACAACGGTCCACGAGCCGTACTCGTTGACGATACCTGGATGCACCGTCGTGTGTCCTCTCGATAGGTACGTGGAGATATTTCAGCCGATAATATCGACCAAGTGGGAAGACGAGTGCAAAGCCGATGACAACTACGTAATGCCATCCGCACCACTTGCATAGTTGTAGAGATAGTTATTTATTATAAACATGATCCATCGTCGTGTATAACTTTATTGTATACTCACACTGTAAATAATTATTTACATCATTAATATTCATATTGACTTTCACTGTGCACAAAGTCCTGGGCCAGTTTTCTTAATATAAGGAGCATTTCTAAAATATCAAAATCGATTATCGAGGTTTCGAAATTTTGTATTGTGCGAAATAAAAATTTCAAAATAAAAAGACTTAATGTCTGTCAAGTCTGATGTTGACATTTTCTTAACAAAGATGGTGTGATACCAATGGATATCCAGACTGGTTTACAATTATTTTACAGTTTACCGCTGCTTCTGTTCACCAACTGCAAATCTGATCGATTATTCGTATCTATGAAATTACCCTTTCATATCTTTCGGAACTTCGAATTCTTGGCCCATAAGTCAAACATGTCGAAAAAGTACGTAGTGTCGAGAGAATTCAAGCAAATATCTTTTCTTCCCGTCGTTTCTTCGTAACTACGGTTCCAGGCTTATGCTGCGCGTCAGGATGGTTAAGAAGCTCCGGTGGACAAGTAGATATCGGACTGGCGAGAATAGTTTGTTTAAGATCGTAAAATAGGTGGCTATCATCCTTCGTACAAAAGGAAATGGCAAGACCAGCTTTGCCAGCACGACCGGTTCGACCGATTCTGTGTGTGTAGTCTGTAAATAATGAAAAGATAAGACAAAGTAAGTTATAAAGTTAATTAATTTCTAATTGATAGAAATGTCTTCTGTGAAAAGTTAACTCTATACTTCTGTGACAATAACTACAGATAGGAATAATAAATTTTAACGAATATACTTTTGCTAAATAACTAAAAAAAATTCAATCTTGGAGTACTATCAGTATTATGGTACTGATGTCAATTGCATAAAAAAAATATGAAATGTAAAAAGTACGATATAAATGATCACCTTCGATAGTCTTAGCCATATCATAGTTGATGACCATTGATACATCCTTAATGTCGATACCACGTCCAGCAACGTCAGTGGCCACAAGAATATCCTTGCTACCACTTTTGAGTGACGCCAAAGCGTACTCTCGCTGCTCCTGACCCTTACCACCGTGCAAGGTGCAGGCATTGTACTAAAATGAAAACGACATATTAGATGGCCATGAACAGTTTGTCTTCGTACTTTTTAAATATAACCAACGTCACAAATATTCGAGTAAGTTACAGGGGGAAAGCAAAATACATACTCCTAATTTCTCCAAACCTCTCGCCAAGACATCTGCACCCTTCTTCTGATTAACGAATATGATAACAGGTGGTTCGACACCTCTGCTGAGTATCTCCATTAGTTTCTTTCGTTTATCGGCCTCGCCCATAATATGAACTATCTGCTCGGTACGCTCGGTAGGTTTGCCAACACTACCGATGTACACGACCGCTGGTCTTCGTAAATAAGTTCTAGCTAACCGTTCCACAGCAGGAGGCATCGTAGCAGTAAACATCACTGTCTGGAAAATGCAAGCATACGAGCATTAGGCAATTTGTGATTTTATTGAAGAAAATTAGATTGAATAAGACTCGATGAAATTTACACTATTCGATATTTAGCAATGGAGAAGCACATATAACTAACTTGAAGATTTTTCTTACTTGTCTGTACTTCTTCTTTGTATTGTAGTTGGCCAAAAGTTTTTCTTCGTTCTCCGCATCTTCATTATCCGGTTTTAGATTCGTCACAGGCATATACTCCAAAATTTTTTGAACATCTAAAATAATTATATTTGTTATATTAAATCATATGATTTAGAAATTGTAAAATAGATTACGTGTTCTCGACTTATACACCTGGTTCAAAACCCATATCTATCATCCTGTCAGCCTCGTCCAGCACAATGTAAGTACATTGGTTCAATACGAGATACCGGTTTTCCAAAACGTCTATCAAACGCCCAGGTGTGGCGATGACAATCTAGAAAGAAAAATAATTAATTCAACACTTTGAATTTGTCAGTAGTTGTTGATTCCACATTATGTAATTTGTAGAAATGATGAAATCCGACATTGATAATTCAATGGCAGAGACATACCTCACAACCCATCCTCAATCTGAAACCTTGCTCCTCTCTCGAGAGACCACCCACTACTACGACAGTCCGAATGCCTAATGGTTGTCCGAATTTGTTAGTTTCTTCTTCTATCTGCTGTGCTAATTCACTACAATGCATATGCAAAATAAGTGTTAAGAATAATCCACGAAAGAATAAGACCAAAGAAAGAAGCAATCAGTACCGTGTAGGTGCCAAAATAATACTATAGGGTCCTTGATCTGCCTCCTCGAGTCGTTCAATCTTTGGTAGACTGGTGATCCATAGTAGCAATGGAATTAAGAACGCCAGTGTTTTACCCGAACCAGTCTCCGCAACACCAATAATATCACGATTCTGCAGACCGATGGGAATCGCCTGTCGCTGAATAGGAGTGAGATCTTTATAGCCGACCTTATCGATAATGTCGAGAATTTCTTTGGGGAAGCCAGACTCCTTCCAAGATCGTATAGGATCAGGAATGCGACCACCCTTGATCGTGATGTTGTAATCCTCACGGAAAATACGCCAGTCGCGTTCAGTCATTTCGTTTAGCGCTTTTTCAGACCAGTGTCGGTCATCCCACTTTTGCTTCTCTTCTTTTCGTTTTACTTTTTTTAATCTCATTCTTGAAAATATAAGAACAGAAAAAGATGCAGAAGATATACTATCTCCAATATTCAAGTGTAAGTAGAAACATTTTAATTAGCTTGAATATATAAAAAATACTCAAATATTTTATATTTTATAATTTATATTATATTTTATATTATACTCAAATACTTCATATTATACTACAAATACTTTATATTATAAACACAGAAAAAAATGTCATAAATACTTATGTTAAAGATGAGGTTCTCTTATATTTTTATTTCAATGATTATATTTTTATTAATTGTTTGATGACAAAACTTACTTTTCTTGTTCCTTTTCAGCCTCTGTACGTCTTTTCTCCAACAATTCACCATAGAACTTGCTCTGGTCCCGTTTCTGCGCCTTAATGTCAATGCCTGCCAGATTACCTCTACCAAAGAATTGCACCTGGTGTCGTTCCTTGTAAATGTTGTTATAATCCACAGATGTGTCCTCGGAAGTATCCCAGTCAAAAACAAACTTACGATCATTTAGTCTTCTGACCCGACGCTTTTTTTTCACCAGACCTAAATATCGTTCCTTAATGGCCTCTACTTCTTTTTCCTTATCCTTATCTTTAATCTCGTCCTCGCGCGACCGCTGTGTATCTCTTCTCCTACTATAAATATAAAACTTTCTTAGAACAGAATATATTTTTAAACTAAATTAAGTTTTAGAAGCACTTAGAAGAAATTAGAAAATACAAATAGAAATATATAAATGAGATACCTGTCTCTATCATCCCATTCTCTCTCTTTGCTGATATTATCATTGTGAAATAAGGATTTGCGTTCTTCCTCCTGTTGTTTTCTTATTGCTTCAACTTCTTTTTGACGTTTCTCCAATGCTAAAGCAGCACGTTCTTCCTTACTGAGAAATTTTGGCTTAGCCCGAGCTTCCTCTTCTGCCTTCTTTTTGGCTAACAGTTCTTCCAAACTCAATGGCTCTTTTTTTGGTACAAGTTTAATGTTATCTTCTGCCTCTTCCTCATCCTTTTTGACATCGTTCTTCAGGTCCTTCTTTAAATCATCTTCATTGATAAGTACAGGACTCTTTCGTTTCTTGTCATCTTTGGATCTGTCCTTGACATCTCTACGTTCCCTCGAACGATCGCGATCCCTCTCTCGCGATCTGTCACGCTCGCGTGATCTATCTCGCTCTCGAGATCGTTCCCTTGATCTAGATCGCTTTCTGTCCTTCTTACGGTCTTTTGATCGACTTCTGCTGCGCCGGCGATCACGTCGCTCTCGATCGCGCTCACGTTCCCGATCACGATCACGAGAGCGACTTCGTCGAGTGGTTTTCTTATCGTGAGGCATTTCGAAATTACTTGTCGTGTGACGAGACAAATTTGAGGTTAAAGCGCTCAGGAGAGATGCTGTTAGACTTTGTCGACTAAAATAGACAATTATGTCATCAAATAGAATAATTAGATTAATTCTTTTATAGAAAAATCCTAGTTTAATGTTAAATGATTCATATTCTTATTGCACTAAAATTATTTCACAGTTCGTCTTTCCACTTTGAACAAATCGAACAAAACAAACATAACCTTTTTTCATACAAAGATTGTGTTCAGAAAACAAAATGCTCACTGAGCGCTTAGTAAAGCTAGCGGCACACGGTGCTTGTTTTCGTGCTTGATTGCTTGCTGGATGAAAATACTGCGTTCTGATTGGTACATTTCCGAAGATGGACGGAAATGCACCAATCAGAACGCAGTATTTTCATCCAGCAAGCAATCCAGCACGAAAACAAGCATCGTGTGCCGCTGGTTTAACTATTGGTCCTTAAGCCCCTTGCACAATGCCAGGCAACAGGCAATAAGAATAAAAATAGACCAATCACAATAGATTATTCTTGTAATAGTCACAGATGTCTATACTATACTAGATTGCTAACTTCTCAAAAGAGCTGTGTCCTGCCCATTTTCCGGTTCGGCCATGAAGACCGCCAAGCATGGCGGCGGTGTGTGTTTGTAGTGTGTATGTGAATACCCGATGCGTATGTAGTAGTGCGTGGTAGTGCGTATGTGACACTTGATGTGTCTACTACTATTTATGTTAGTAAAACTGCAAATCTACAAACGAGATAATGCCGAATAAGTATTGTAAATTTCAAAAATACGAACAAGAAAGAATATCATTTAAAGATGTGTGTATTAATAAGGTGTTGCTAATCTAAGTGTTTGGTAAAGGTTAAAATTAAATTGAATATATACAATTCAAAATATGTCAAAGTATTTGTATTAATATTTTTTACATATATATAAAGAATAAAATGCAACTTATGTGTTATTAAGTAATATTAATTTTGTAAATTTGTGTCTGTTACTTGCAGGATTTCTATCTTTCGTTGTTTTTGTAAGTGAATACACTCTAATATTAATAATATTAATAATATTAACATAATATTAATAATATTAACAATGTTTAATTGCAAGATAACCCTCACATATTACAAACCTCGAACATTTATTATATATAAATGTATTCTACTTATTTAAATAAGTGATATCCTTTTTTATTCGTATTATTGCAATTAACAATGCAACATGTACTTGGCATTATCTCGTTTATATATTTGCAGTTTTACTAATATAAATAGCAGTAGATACGACACATCAGTGTAGACACATCAGGTATCACATACTTACAGTACAGCATTACTACACACGCATCGGATACTCACGTACGCACTACAAACACACACCGCCGCCATGTTTTGGCGGTCTTCATGGTTCTGATTGGTGCATTTCCATCCATCTTCGGAAATGCACCAATCAGAACGCAGTATTTTCATCCAGCAAGCAATCCAGCATGAAAACAAGCACCGTGTGCCGCTGGTTTAATAGTAATATGCGCATAACCTAAAAAGTTAGAATTGATATTTATTTATTCCATAGACATATATAATAGACTGAGCGTAGCGGGTTTGGCAGAACGGTGAGAGAGGCAAGATATCGGGGAAGTTTTCTTTCCTTATCTGCGCAGGTCGAATGCGCAATCGTCTAGTGACAGCCAATGGCACAGACTCATGACAGCAAAAAATACGCATAAGCGTAGTTATGTACGGTCAACAAGATATGTGTAATATATATATGTGTAATATTTTTCTTCACTATTGTTAACTCTACTTTATCGCCTACTTTCCGACCATAAGAAATGTCTTGTATGAAAAAAGTCTGACATGAAAAAATGTCTTGTATGCTAAAATGTCTTGTGTGCTAAAATGTCTCAAACTAAGTAACAAAACTTTATTCTGTCTATCGACAACTCTAATAACATAAACTTTATAATATATTAAGATGAGTAAGGTATACCATCTTTTCCCAATTTTGTCCAGATTGCCCTTCATGCCATGCGTTATCGTACGACAAATGTTGAATCATGACCAACATTTCGTCCGACATCGGACGATGACGGACAGCCAAGCTATCCGATAATACGAAGTAAAATCCTGCTTTTTGATTGGTTGCGGAGCGTCGTACGATGTACGTCGGATGCAGTGTGAATCCAGCAACAGGCTTTTGCATAACACATAATACATAACACATAAGAGAATAAACCAATTAGTTTTCTTCATTTCCCTTCTCAGGACAGAAATGGAGAACTTTGATTGGTTGATTCTCTTATACGTTGTGTATTAAGCCAGCGGCACACGGTGCTTGTTTTCGTGCTGGATTGCTTGCTGGATGAAAATACTGCGTTCTGATTGGTACATTTCCGAAGATGGATGGAAATGCACCAATCAGAACGCAATATTTTCATCCAGCGAGCAAACCAGCACGAAAACAAGCACCGTGTGCCGCTGGCTTTATGCGAAAGTCTGTGCTCTGGCCCTGGAGCTCTGAACATGAGAAAAATAAGAAGTAATTCCAAATACTGGAAATTGACATTTTCTGTAAGAATAAGTGGGATTAATTACATTAAAACAAATAAATTTTCCAAATACAATTATCTATAATTACAGAATGATTTGTCGAAAACTTTGCCAATCATTTAGGTTAAAAAATGTAGGTTATATCGATGATTTGAATCAATTTATTTACAAAAAGCAACGTAAGTAAATAATAAATAACAAATATATAGCATTAATAATATTCTGCCTTCTTCCATGTCCAATTATCTGTTTAAGCTCAAAATTAGACTTAACAGTGCAAACAAAATAAAAAAATTAATTCTTTTAAGCTCTTGTATTACATTGCAACGCAGTCAAGAATGAGTATCTACAACTCAGATTGCAACCACCAATGGTCAATTTTTGTACTCATGAGATGCCTAAGAGTGCCAATGTTTTTGGAGATATCTCAGGCAGGAAGTTTGAAAATGTTAAAATGGATGAGTTTGAGCAGGAGCAAGAGAAATTTGAGGATACTGAAGCTTGTATTCCACATCGACTAAAACCCAGTATAGGCCAATATGGACAAATGATTAAGTCATATTTGTCCAAAAAAGACATTGACTCTGCTCTGAAAGTGCTTGATTTGGTGAAGGAAAACCGAGACAAACCTACTGTATATATGTACAACCTTCTGATGCGAGCTCTCTCTATGCAGGGTGATCTAAAGAAATGCTTTAGTTTATATAACAAGTTAAAGAAACGTGATTTAAAACCAAACGAGGCTACTTACACTTGTTTGTTCAATGCATGTGCCATGTCGAGTAATAAAGAGTTGGCTTTGGAGCATTTAAACAATCTACGACAGTCAATATACGAAAAGCAAATTCTGCTAAATCAGACTCACTACAATGTCATGATAAAAGCATACAGTTGGCATAATCAAATTGGTGAAGCGTTTCGATTAGTAGATGAGATGATGGACAATCGTATTGGTATAGGAGATTGCACTTTTAACTCGTTATTTCATGCTGCAATTACAGATAAGGAGAATGGTCTGAGACATGCTCTGACAGTATGGCACTTAATGTATCGTTGGAAAGTCAAGCGCTCTTTGACTACATATAATCTGCTTCTAAGAACAATAAGAGATAGCAAATTGGGAAATGTGAAAATTGACAATGTTCTTCTCCCTGGATATGAATCAACTAAAATCTTGTTGAAGGAAGGTGTCAAGCCAGATTTGTTATCATCACCACCCATTGTGAGCACGTTATTGCTATTGACCAGGACAGAACAACAAAATGTTACACAACATTCTCTTGTTGCAACAAATGAGCAGAACCTTCCACAGGAAGCATCAATAAACTTAAATAATACGTTTATGAACAATCGCCTAATTTTATTTGGTGGCATTGAAGGATTTTTAAATCGAATGGCCTCTGATGATGTTAAACCAGATGCCAAAACGATTACGTTGTTGTTAGATTTAATTCCGAATACAGTGACTGCTGAAAACTTGCTGCTGAAAATTGCAGATGAGAAAAATATTCAGTTAGATATTGATTTTTATAATATGCTTATCAAGAGGCGTAGTATACGATTTGAATATAAAGCTGCAAAGGTAAGGATTTATAGATTAACATAATATATTATCGCTTAATTATCACATGATGCTACTTTATAATTTAGGAGGTGATACAAATAACAGAAAAGAAGTCGCTCCGTCCAAACGTGATGACGTTTGGAGTTCTGGCACTTGCTTGTCAAGAATATTACGACTTCAAAGAATTTTTGGAAGGAATAGAAGCTTTCGGTTATAAACCCAATGTTATAATCATGACTGCTCTTCTCAAAACAGCTTGTATTAAGAACAATTTAGGATGCCTCTTGTTCGTGATGGATTACATGGTGATGAATAAAATAAAACCTAATGAACAAACTATCAAAATATTGAAGGAATTTTCAAAAAAGATACCAAATATGCGGAAACCAAAGGTGTGTAGAATATATATATAAATTTGTATTAGTTATATCTTTATAGGGAAATATGGTGCAGTAAAGATATACTTATAAGTAAACAAAACATTTTTAATAGCCTACAAGAAAAATAGCAACACTAAAAGAAAAAGGTTAATATACGTACAAACGTAAATATACAGTAGTATTAAAATAAATTACTTATTTTTCTAATAGAAGAAAGAGAGAAAACATTTTATTTTATTCATCTTTTTATTAATTCTTCTATTTTTTACTTATTTTATTTAAAGTAATGTGTAGTAAATATTTTAAAAAATCTTGATAAATTAAAAAAATATATTCAAAATATATACATATAATAATACATATACTTTCTTTGTAGGGTAAAGGCAAATTACGGAAATTGAGAAGCTTAGAAAACAACGTCTATAGATTTGAAGAAACATTCTCTAAATGGCAAAAAAAAATTGAAGAAAATAATTTGTAACATATTAAAAAATATTATTTCTATAAAGAATATAACACATGAATTTCTTTGGTAAATTAATTTTCTTTTAACAATTTTACCTTGTCAGGAATTTATTAGATGGCTTCTTGAATTATTTTATAGCATTATTTAGATATTTTCATGCAATTTGAGGAAGAATAAGAACTGGGAGCAAACAGGAAGAGTAAATTAACGAAGATACGGAGGACGAGTTTCCTGCGCCCACGGTCGACTTCTGGTTCCACTATTGATAGCGCGCGGTGGACATGTTCCACGTATGCTAAGCTTATTGTAACCAGTGGGACCCGTTGGTTGAGCGCCGCATGTTTCCAACGCTACGAACTCGTCCACATGAAGAGATGGTGGTCTCGAAGTATTAGGTGGTCTGGATCGGAAAGGATCAGCTCCTCTACCCACTCCTCCACCCACTGGACCACCTCGCAATGAGTTGGTGAATTGATTTCGACCTCGTACCGGTGTCACTAGAATAACAAAGTAGTTAAATAATATAAAACGGAAAATGACCGATGAAAATCCGTTGAGATCTAGAAAAATGTTAAAAATCTTACCAAACGGCTGTTTTGATTTGGCTATTGGAGAGCTCTGCTTCTCTGTTCTGCTTTCTTGTTCCTCATCCTGGGGTTTCGATTGCAGAGGTTGAGTGGCATCATCGGGAGGTGCTTTAGAGCACAAATTCTGCGCCTCCGCCAACAAATTAAAGTCAGCGGGCAATAATTCAGCGGCAAGTGCCATCAAGTCCACCGTATTCTCAGTTTGTATTTGACTGGCTGTCACAAATGAGAATTTCGTGAACTGGGTTGGACTATCATTGATTGTTCCAGCACATCTTTGCGAGAATTGATTTAGCAGAGCTTCTGGAGTAGGCAATAGCGGTTCCAACATCTCCGGGATAGGTTCCTTCTCCTCTCTCTCTTCGGCTTTCAAAGTCTCCACTAGCTCCTCCGCGCGCTTCAGTTTCTCTATGGGATGATCGTTCCTCTCCCAGGAGATCAAAGAAGCTAATTGTTGTGTGCGTAGATGCAGGGATCGTCTCTCTGAATCGGAAGCAATCAAATTCTCCAAAAAGGTTATGGTCAGATCAACAAGCGAACATATCTCGGGATTTTCTAAAGTAGACACATGATCCAACAACGCGCGTAAGGCACCAGGATTGTTCTCCAGGCAACTCTTCACGTGATACAGACCGTAGTTGTGACCGATGAGAGACAGAAGAACGTGCAGAGTGCTCTCTATCACATCCAGCTGGTATTTCGTACTGGTGGCTAAGATTTCGATCAGAGCCGCGAGAATGGATAGTAAAGGTTCCTTGCTAGGTACTGAATGCGTCAGTTTCTTCTCAAACGGCTCGTTGTCTTCTTGCACGAGGCTTAGATTACAGTCGCATAAGGTCTCGAAGATACTGAGGATTTCATATTGTACACGAACTTCATTGCTGTTCTTCAGAGTGGAACACATCATCTCGATGACCGGTGGATACTTCTGGTCGGATTTCACTTGTGCTCTGGATGCAGGACTCGTCAGAGTTAATAAGGTAGCCTTCATGGGCGCGTGTCTGGCTAAATCGCTGATTAGGGCGAGAACAGGAACGTTATTCTGAGGAGTAGCTGCTAAGATACCATCCAACAGACATCTCCCAACTAAGAGAGCTGTTGGCGCCGCCAAGTCGCTCAACTGCTTGCAAACCGTGGACAAAAGAAGCAAAACTTCTCCGTTCCAACTGGCGCAGAGCAATCGTAGAGTTTCCGTGAGATTCGTGGCTTGTGCTTGCAGATGTGCGGACCAGAGCTTCCTCAAACCCAGAACTCTTGCCGCGTCCTCAGTAGCAGTCTCTCGCGGTGTCAAAACAGGCGGTAATAGGCGTGTCAGCAGTTTCAGACCCGGCACGAAATTGCAAGGACTGAGCGAGACCATCTTCAAGACTTCGCCCAACATCTGAGTCCATAAGGATTTAGCCACGTTGCCGGAGCCATCAGAGTCAACGGCTTGGGTGAATACCAGCAGTGTGCCTACAATCTCTTCGGACAGAGTTCGCACAATCAAATTTGGTGGCACGGCCTCGATCAAAGAATAGACACCCAACAACGGAACGACGGCCGTCAGATCCTTAAAGTCCGTCGCCATGCATTTGACAAGCCTCTCCAACAGCGCCCTGGTCAACTTTACACAGGGCAGCAAGAGGGCGACCAATGCCATACCCCTGCGACCAGTCAAGGCTGCACGATGAAGAAAAGGCTGTTCGTAAAATTCAGATACATTCGCCATCACGGCAACTAGGGCAGTCAGACCGTCAGCAGCGAAGAGCTGTGTCAGAGCATTCCTGTATTTGAGCTCGACATAGGGTTCCATGGGATCGACATCGTTGTTCGATGGAAAGATGAGATAATGCAAGATCCTGCATGCGGTGATCAGTTGACCAGGCAGAGACGCAGCTTTCTCTGCGCTCTTCCTAATAATCGTCACTAGCGACGAGACATCACTGTAGTCCCAGTGAGAGGCTTGAGCCGCGGTCGTCAAGTACGATGTCACGTCCCTGAGAACGGCATGCTCGCGAGCCTTATCTAGTATCAATTCCGCACGGTTCTGCAAGATCTCTACACGGTCGGAGTAACGGACGATAGCGGAGATTACTTCGACAGCAAACTCGCAGAGATTGGGATCCGACAAATAGGGGATCAGTATGTCCATATAGTCGCCTAACGGTATTACCTTGAGAATGGCGCGTAAGCCATCAGGAGAGACGAGAAAAGAGTGCAGACGTTTCAGAGTCATCCAATCGTCCGGCGTCTGTCTCAAGTGAATCAAACACTGCGCGACTTGAAGACGCCACGCTAAGATGGAACCAGCGCCTGGTAATTCGTATTTTAGAGCCTTTAACATCAACCGTACCACCTCGGCCTCCTTCAGTAAGTAGAACAGGCCTTCCTTCGTATCTGAAAGATGTAGGAGGAAGCGACGGATCAGTTTGATCACTTTCAAGTCGCAATTCGGTGAGGACAAAGTCAGCAAGAAGTGATGGGCTAATTTGTGGTACTCAAAATAGGCTACTAGATGAGCGCGAGGATTGCGAGTACGTTCTCGCTCGAATTCTATCTGAGCACCGGCCGGCAGCTGGCGTTTAGGCTGCGCCATCAATGTCGGCGCGCAAACATAGGCATTTATCAGCTCGGCCAAACCGAGCTCGTCAAACTCTTTTGTCTCTTCCAAATATTCGTAAACGTGGACTTTGCGGAGGAGCGAGCTCAGGGCGTATTTTAGTCTGGCTAACTTCACCGTATCCAACATCGTTAATGTGTTTCTATACAGATTAATCTTTGGATTTAGGAACTCCTGTACAATCACCGGACTGATTAGTGCGGCGTCAAGAGCTCGCAGAGCGGAAAGTTTCACTGGCAGAGCCACATTCTCACGCATACAAAGAGACAACAACTTGGACGGCGCCTCGACTTTCAATAGAATTTCCGGACCGATGGATAATCGACAGAGAGCTTCCGCTAAACGCACTCCCACCTTTACATGTCGCACCTTGTACGCAGGTTGCGGTTGGGCTCTAGCAAGTTCCATGTCTAAGCCAGCATTGACGATGTTGGTCAAGTCATTGACATTGTCTGTACTGTAGTAGAATGGACCTAATATGACACACAGAGATTCGCAATTGTGGACAAACGTTTCTTTCTCTTGACCAGACGCGTTGTGAAAGTGCGAGACTGATTTAGACAAGGGCTGAAGGATCTCTCTGATTTTCAATAAAGTTTCGTGATTTACATTAGGATCCTCCAGATTGCTTGGTTTCTCTAGATTGAGCAAATCAGGCGGCATCAATGCGTAGATCTCATCGATTTGCGCGGTTTCACACTCGAATTCGGCCGTAGACGGCACATCATCAGTCATTATGTCTTCGTCTGATAATATAGGCTCAAACGGCTCGCCAGTCTCAGGCTCAGCTGCTTCTTGTTGTTCTGCTTCTTCTTCTTCGGCAGAAATAGACTCGGGACTCAGAGAAATCAAGGATTCCGTAGGAGGAGAGGCCGGTCGTTTCGATGACTTTTCGGCTGTATTGCTGGCTGCCTCCTCTTCCCATTGTCCTGATTCTGGCTTTTCGGTGTCTGATGCAGTAGACCTGGATGGTTCTACAACTTGAATTGGTTGAACTGGTGGTGGTGGAGTTGCAGCAACACAGGTTTCCTGTTGTTAATAATAAAATTATGCAGTCAAACTTTAAGTTTTAAGTACAGAAAATGCTTTTAAAAAATAGAATCTCTAAAAAATATTTTAAATTGCTAAGGTCTTAATAATCTAAAGCATCTTTTAGATGTATCAAATATTTTCATGTCTCTGAAGTTTACCAAATACTCAGTATCTTTCAGACATTTTTACAATGTTTATAGATATTTATGCCATGTACGAAATAGTTTGGATAGACTTAATCATATTACTAAATCATTAATGAATCTCTTACTGATGAATTTGTTTGGTGCTGGTTCTCATAATACCACTCAGGTTGCTGTTCTGAAGGAGTCTGAGCAGCACTTTTAGGATTTTCTTCCAGAGCACTGACACAAGCAGTAGATCCAGCTGTTGAATTGTTGATCTCTTGTGGATTGTTCAGCGACTTTGTCAGAGTACCATACACTGCTAATGTTATTGTGGTATACCATCCTCTTAGCACTAATCCATCAGTTGGTATTTGTTTTCGTTCACATTCCAGCTGGATATGAATGTTCTGCTTATATTCCAAACCACCCAGAGACTCAAAAGTAGATGCTCCAGGCTTACTGAGATCGTTTACAAAAAACTCAATTTCAAATTGAGAAGGATTAGTTGCTCTGTAAAGAAAGATCCTTTTTATCAATCCTAGATATCCACAATTAATTTAAAAAGAACAATAAGTCCTCAGAATCTAAATTGATAGATTTTATAGATATAATAAAATTTATAGATAGAAAATTTTGAAATATAATAGTATAAAAAGTAAAGTTTTTATCCATTACCCAAGACGTACTCCTCCTGGAAAGTCTGCTTGTACACGTGCACCTAATGGTATTATTCTTACTTCACTAATATAAACAGGCTTAGGGAATTGTACCAAATCCAAATTTAATTCCTAAGAATAAAAAAAATATAAAGATTTAAGATTTAATGATTTGTTATTATTATTAATCATATGTAAACAAACCTCTGAAATGTCGTGGGAGAATGTGTCAAAGAATAACAATTCGGTATTATCCATATTTTGTTATTGGTAAATTCCTTCACATCATATATAACCTAATTTGTAATAAACTTTTTAATAATAAGTTAAATACTAGAAATTTCTCGTTCTAATTCTATTTTAACTTACTCGTTTTTATTCTTCTTTTTATCTTATATTTCTTTGTTTTTAGATATATATCGTTATTTTTTATTTAATTATATCTGTGTAAGACCAACATGTTTCCTCATAGAACATATATTATTGATAGCTGTTGCACACAAAAACACGGTAATTATCATACAGTACAACAAAAAATGGTATATTATGTTATTAAAAAATATAATCACTGTTAATTATGCTATTGAAAATTAAAAATGTTGAATTCACCGCATCGAGTTGTACATATCACTATTTGAAAATGGAGAGTAGTCATACTATATATATACATACATATATATATATATATATATGACTTCTGGAGTTTACTAAAGATAATAGCGGCTCGTAGCGGGCACCTTGGAACTAATAAAAATAATGGATTTTCTATTGTTATTGCAGGAGCTATATTTTATATATTTTTACCGACAATTATCGCTTGATATGTGATTGAGTAAATATTTTGTGATATAATCAAACCTGTGTTCTATAGTTTATGTTAAAGTAGATATGTATATAACACACAGAACTTAAGCAGTAGACATAAACAATGAGCAAATCTACCAATCATAGTTGAAAACATAGTGGTGACTGTATATGACTGTATGTTCTCAACTGTGATTGATTAATTTGTTTATTCTTAATATTCTGCAGCAGTTTTTTGAATATATCCAGCTAAAAGAAATAAATGAACAACGAATATGAATGCAAATGTTCGCATTTATTTTTCGTCGGTTGTTGGTTTGTCAGGATCACTTTTAAAATTGCTGTACTATATGTTGCAGGCTTGCGATTAAGGTTAACAATGAATTAGCCGATTATATTACACATTAAACAGTTAACCTACACGTGATCTTTTCTCGTAATCTTATTAAATGATTTTATAGCAAACAAGTTAAAAGTAGTCTAAAGCCAGCGGCACACGGTGCTTGTTTTTGTGCTGGATTGCTTGCTGGATGAAAATACTGCGTTCTGATTGGTGCATTTCCATCCATCTTCGGAAATGTACCAATTACAACGCAGTATTTTCATCCAGCAAGCAATCCAGCACGAAAACAAGCACCGTGTGCCGCTGGCTTAACCTAGCAGTTCAGTTCAGTTCAGTTCAATATTGGCTCCGGGGGAATAAGGTTTCCCCATACGCCATTCCTTATGTCTTGTCTTCATGTAAGGTTACAGCGATTGGTGTGTTTCTTAAAAATTTAGTGATTTCCATAAATATAGCTATATTATCTGGTTTGAAAGCTTTTTCATGAATCAATTCGGGTCTTTGTTTGGTTCGCAGTACGTGGGACAGCTATCGCTCGATGATATCTATGCATATAAACACATTCCAATATGTGTGTGCAGCTGTGCCCGAACGAAATCGTTCTTAAGGCTCGTCTACAATAGCTGTAAGAGTAAGGCTGTAACGTAAGCTGTCAGCGAATGAAAATATTTCATTTCGTGTCTTGCAACCTTACAGCTTTACTCTTACAGCTAATGTAGACGAGCCTTAAGGCTTATTATAAGAATAATTGGTTATAGTTGATCCATTTCTTAAGGTCATTCTACAATACGTGTCGTAAGTTGTAAGCCATAAGAACTGACTAATTATAGCCGATTATTTTTGTAATAATCGACTGTGATTCGCCAAATCTTACAGCTTACAACTTACGACACGTACTGTAGAATGACCTTTAAGGCTCGTCTACAATAGCTGTAAGAGTAAGGCTGTAAGGCTGTAACGTAAGCTGTCAGCGAATGAAAATATTTCATTTCGTGCCTTGCAACCTTACAGCCTTACTCTTACAGCTAATGTAGACGAGCCTTTAAGGCTCGTCTACAATAGATACAGGACGCTCTTTTGTAATATAGTTCTATATCAACCCTACTTTAACCATAAAGCTCGACATTCAATTCACAGTAGAAACGGAGATATCATCACAAGTTAAACATTTTAAATTACTATATCTCCTAAACGGTTCAAGATACAGAAACGCATTCTTGCCACAATGTAGTCCTATACCAACCCTAATCTTACCATAAATTTCCATTCTCAATTCCCAGTAGAAACGGAGATATCAAAGGTACAAGTTGGAAAACTTTAACCTTCGATATCTCCTAAACGGCTAGAGATACAGGCCTGTTTCTTGCACCAAAACGTAGTCCTCTAAAAAACCTACATTTCACCATTAATTACGACTGTCAACTCCCAGTAGAAGCGGAGATATCAACGGAAAAGTTGGAAAATTCTTACTTTCGATATCTCCTAAACGACTAGAGATACAGGCCTAGTTCTGGCATCAAAATAAAGTACTCTCAAAACCCTACATTTTCGACTACATTGACGACTCTCTACTCGCAGTAGAAGCGGAGATATCGACGAAGAAAGGCTGGAAAACTGTAACCTTCGATATCTCCTAAACGGTTAGAGATACAGGCCTGGTTCTGGCACCAATTAAAGTCCTCTCAAAACCCTACATTTTGCCGTAAGTGGCGACTCTCTACTCCCAGTAGAAGCGGAGATATCGACGGAGAAAGGCTGGAAAACTTTAACCTTCGATATCACCTAAACGGTTAGAGATACAGGCCTGGTTCTGGTACCAAATTAAAGTCCTCTCAAAACCCTACATTTTCGACTACATGGACGACTCTCTACTCCCAGTAGAAGCGGAGATATCGACGGAGGAAGGCTGGATATCGACGGAGAACGGCTGGAAAACTTTAACCTTCGATATCTCCTAAACGGTTAGAGATACAGGCCTGGTTCTGGTACCAAATTAAAGTCCTCTCAAAACCCTACATTTTCGACTACATTGACGACTCTCTACTCGCAGTAGAAGCGGAGATATCGACGAAGAAAGGCTGGAAAACTGTAACCTTCGATATCTCCTAAACGGTTAGAGATACAGGCCTGGTTCTGGCACCAAATTAAAGTCCTCTCAAAACCCTACATTTTGCCGTAAATGGCGACTCTCTACTCCCAGTAGAAGCGGAGATATCAACGGAGAAATGTTGGAAAACTTTAACCTTCGATATCTCCTAAACGGTTAGAGATACAGGCCTCGGTCTGGCACCAAAATAAAGTCCTCTCAAAACCCTACATTTTCGACTACATGGACGACTCTCTACTCCCAGTAGAAGCGGAGATAAAAAATATAAAATATAATCTTCATGATATTAATCATATACAATCTCAATTCTTATTTTTTTTGTGCATGTTAACATGTTAATTCATGTTATAAATGCATAACAATGTGCGAGACCGTGCTTGTCAAGTATGCTATTATGGTTGTAGCACGGACATAAACCGTCTGAAAGTGGATGTAGCACTGACAGCCACCAGATGCAGGTTTTACCGTCGAGACCTAAAAGTGGATGTACTATCGTAGTTCCCCTCTTAAAATGAATGCAGATAGCGCCCATTCCCAGTGCGAAAAATCGGTGTCGCCGAAAACGCCGTGTTGGCCGCTTTCAGTTTCCTCTCTGGTTCTACTGAGCGCGGTCAATGTTTGAGGCCTACCAACCTTATAACTAAAACCAAAGTTTTCAAAACCAATTTCAGAACAGACCTTCGATTAATATCGCCGTATAAATGTAGTCAATGTTGGACGTAGTCGCGTGATTTATTATTTTATGTATATAATTGTAATTGCAAAATGAGTGACGAAGAGAAGTTACTTACCGAAGACAAAGATCATGTAAACTTTTAGCATGAATTTTGAACGAGTATTATTAGAAAACATATTAGTTATTCGTAATATCCTTTAAATTATTTGTGTTTTAGGTTCAAATCCGAGAAGAGTTATCACAGATGAGTTTTGAAGATTTACAGAAACTAAAGGACAAATTAGGAACTAAAATATACAAAGAGACATTATTTGGAAAGAAAGAGGTGATTAAAAGACAATTCAAACGAGAGAATAAAAACAGGCCACGTGAAATGTCTGCTAAAATACCAGTATCTGGATTAAGAGAGGTAGTCAAAGTAAAAAAAGTTGTAACTCGAGATCCTAGATTTGACAGCATGTGTGGTACATTTAATGAGAAAGCCTTTAAACGCTCCTATGGATTTATCAGCAAATTACGTGAAAATGATCTTAGTACTCTAAAAAAAGAATTAACACAAGCTACAGATCCAAGAGTGATAAAGAAGATAAAATATCTTATTCAAAGAGTTGAAAATCAATTAAGGGAAGAAAAGAGACTAAAGAAAAAGGAAGGAAAACAACAACAGGAAAAAAAGGAACTGATGGAATCTATTAAACGAGGAGAAAAACCTGTTTTCAAAAAGAAATGTAAGTTATCAAAGAAAAAAATCTTTAATGTTACTCTAGCTGACTTATTATTTTATTTCATTTATTTCCTACAGCTGAGAAAAAGGTTTTGGACCTTATCTCGCAATATGAAGAACTGAAGGAAACAGGTAAACTCAAGAAGCACATTAAGAGATTACGGAAGAAGAATATACACAAAGACAGAGCAAAATTAAAAATTAGTGAAATGGAATAGAATATATGTATATGTACACATGTATATGTACAATTATGTAAACAGGATTTGTATGAAAAATCCATGTTATAACTATTAAATGTAATTAAAATGGTTATTTTTTGCTAATATTGTGAATAAGAGTTTTGTTTGTGTTAGTTTATTCTTATTTCACTAGATGACTCTGCTGTTGCGGTATGTCAACATCACGTTGTTTGTGAGGTTAGGTGTATGTCAATTATAAGACAACAAAGACAAAGTAAATTCTGCATGACTATCTAGGTTGATAAATGACTGAGTATAAACAATTTTTGTTATTAGCTAATTAAATAAAGTTTTTAAGATTATTCTTTTAATGAATTTTTTTCCAATTATGTTAGAGCAACTTTTATTATGATTCTATAGGTTAAATAGTATGAGAAAGAACATCTTAATATTATTATTTAGTAATATATTATAAACGAAGAAGGTTCGTGAAATCAACATAATGAGTAACTCAGTAGAGGTAATAATAACTTACAGTCAGATATGTGACTTTATGTAATAACCTATAATTTAACATATAATTTAACATATCAACTCCTTACAGCTGGAACCTCCACCTATTTGGCCTGATATTGAGTTAGAAATGCGTGAATATATCGAATATCCTGAACGATTGCCAATACATCAACTAGACAATGCCCAATGTTATTGGCCGCGCAAGCCAAATATCCCTTCACTCTTGGAATATGATTTAGCTCCAATTGGTACAACACTAAAGTTTGATCGTGATCCGGTAACAGGTAAAATTGGCGAGATGCAAGAGATTGTCTTACTGGGTGCAGGAGAAACTGCAAGAAATTCCATGTCTATGACTCGTGCACCTGGACCACTCATGGATGGAGTTCGAGGTACTTTGATCTTGTCCAAAGTGATTACATATCAAAATTATATTATATATTATAAAAATATTAAATATATTAAAACAATATTATAAATTAAATATTAAGCATGATTCACATTTTAGTAATATTGTTTAAAACAGATATTATATATTATCTTGAACAATATATTTTTCATAGGTAATCCCAGTAATATTCCTTTTTGGCCTGGTGGTTTTGATGAAATTATAGTACCTGAGAATGAATTTGTGGAGGATATTGATTTTGAAAAGAATTTAAGGACATTGGCTAAAGGATTTAGTTCAGGTTTACAATTCCAAAGCGATAATTGTACTCCAATTAATTGTATCAATAATATAGAGGAAACATCTGTACCAGTATCAGTATCCAAAAAACCTGATGAAATAAAAACTAATAATGATAATATCAATTTAATGGCTGTTATACACGAGGAGGGAAATTCACTTGGTTCATGGTTGTTAACTGAGGAGACAAAAAAAGAGAGCGTACAATCTTCAAGTGATGATATTCCCTCCATAGAAGAGTTCTCTACTTTGTCTGACGAAATAAATATACCTGTTTTGAAGATATCAGAGAAACGATCAGAACTGGCAAAGAGTGAATGGGCAGAGCAATTGGATGTATCTGCACCAGTGACTGATTTCGACAAGAGAGTACCTGACCCAGCAATTACGTTCGAATATGAGTTAGACACTTTTCAGAAACAAGCTATCCTTAAGTTGGAGGAAAACTGCAATGTGTTTGTGGCTGCACATACATCTGCAGGAAAGACTACCGTTGCCGAGTATGCTATTGCACTGAGTCAAAAGCACATGACGAGGTATAGCTGCAATATTGCTTGATACTGTTGTTGTAATATCTATCCATCTAACATTAACTAGGCACCAGTCTCCTATTCGTGATCGTTTTTATCATTTTAGGGTGATTTATACATCTCCTATAAAAGCACTATCAAATCAGAAATATCGCGACTTCAAGAAGAAGTACGAAAGCGTTGGATTATTAACGGGTGACTTGCAGATAAATCAAAACGCATCGTGTTTGATCATGACAACGGAGATTCTACAATCAATGTTGTATTGTGCGTCGGATGTCTTACGAGACTTAGAATTTGTGATATTCGACGAAGTGCACTACATTAATAACGAAGATGTAATTAATGCTTTTTTCGTAACGTTACTAATGTTCTCATGATTTAACAGTTTGCATCGAATATCTCTGTGTACTTTTAGAGAGGTCATGTATGGGAGGAAATAGTTATTCTGCTGCCACAAACTATCAATATAGTAATGTTATCTGCGACTGTACCGAATCCAGTAGTGTTCGCGGATTGGGTTGGTCGTATCAAAAAGCGAAAGATGTACGTGATTAGTACTCTAAAAAGACCGATACCTCTTCTGCATTATTTATACACCGGAACTGACGGTAAGACTAAGGATGACAAATTTTTGGTGCTCGATGGCAATGGTCAATTCTTATTAGATGGGTAAATTACTTCTTTCTGTCTCTATATGTAGTTTTTGTTCTTGAGAAGCATGATGTATATCTTAATATCTGCTACACGATAATTTAGATGGTTCAAAGCGACAAACGCGTCCAATAAGAAGAGCAAGAATGCAAAAGATTGTAGAAGAATGACTCCAAAACAAGAGGAAGTTTTATGGAGGGCGTTCATAAGTCACCTTAACAGCAACGTATGTCATCCGACCGTAGCTTATCTAAGTAGAGCTTTCGCGACGATGATCTCTGTAATACCGTCAACATTGCAGGATATGTTACCCGTTGTTGTGTTCACACTGTCGAGAAAGCGTTGTGACGTAAACGCTGCCACATTGAGAAATCTCGACTTAACGACCGCGAGGGAGAAGCATCAAGTGCACGTATTCTTTCAAAATAACATAAAAAATTTGAAAGGTAGCGATAGGGAATTGCCGCAAGTACTTATGATGCAAGAGCTCTTGCAGAAAGGAGTGGGTATACACCACAGCGGGATTTTACCGATCCTGAGAGAAATCGTAGAGATGTTGTTCCAGAGCGGCGTAGTGAAGGTAGTTTTGTAGTTTTGTAGATCGGGAAAAGGCGCCTCTTGTATCTCCAGAGGAATAACGGAATCGCATCTTACTATGTTTCAGTTATTATTCGCGACGGAGACTTTTGCCATGGGAGTTAACATGCCAGCGCGCACGGTGGTGTTCGATTCAATACGGAAATTCGATGGCAATCAATTTCGTACTCTGTTCCCGACGGAATATATACAGATGGCCGGTCGTGCTGGCCGACGAGGTCACGACACTACGGGAACAGTGATGGTAATGTGTAGGAACGAGGTGCCGCACTTCAACGACCTGAAGCCAATGATGTGCGGAGGAGCGCAGACCTTGGAATCGAAATTCAAAGTCACCTATTCTATGCTGTTGAACTTGAGACGAGTGAACGAGTCCGTCACTGTCGAGGCGATGATGCGCAAGTCGTTCAAGGAATCGCCGTTGGCTTCGCAAGAAGCGATGTACACGCACGAGCTACGAAAGCTGGAGCGGGAATTATCGAATCTGCCGACTTTGACCGATATGCAAAAGATGCTCTCGACATTTCATCAGGTGGCGGTGGATTATCTGGAGGACATTAAGTTTCTGAACCCCTACATGTTCGAACCTAAAAAGGCGGCGAAGAACTTGACCGAAGGTAGAGTGCTGATCGTATCGTACGCGAATCATTACAACAAGATAGCTTTGTTACTGCAAGTTGTGAGCCATAAAAATTCGAATGAGTACAAGGTACTGGTGCTTGTGGATGCAAAAGCGTCGGATTCCGAGGTTGCGGAATTCAAGGATCCGCAGACTTACGAGAAGTGGTGTGAAATTATCAATCTGACTAAGAAACGGATATTCGTCCCAAGCAATAATCCATCACACAAGGTCCTCAATGTATCAGCGTGGCATATTATGGCGGTGACTAAGCACCAGATAAAAGTCGATTGCTCCTTGGTACTGGCCGATTGGGAAAAGAGACAAATATCACGATTTAAGTAAGAAACATACAACAGAATATACGAGGTTGCACGATGATTCTCGGCGCATTTATTATTCATTTGCTGTTTTCTTCCTCAGAAACGATCTACCAGGACAGACGTGCCAGATGGCGGTTCAAGAACTGATGTCTCTGTCGTTGAAAGCCGGCGTATCGCCAGAAATTTTATCTCCGTATGTTGAATTTCCATTGAAGAATGACTTACGATTACGTATGCAACATAGGAACCAGCTAAAGACTGTTCTCAACAACATGAAGTGCACGTTAATACCGAATTTCGAGGAACAATTTAGGCCTGTGTTTGAGCGGAATCAACTCGAGAGCAAGATGCGACAGCTGCAGCTCAAACTCAGCGACGAGGGAATGACGTTGTACCCGGACTACATGAATATGCTGACGCTCCTCAAACATTTGCGATACATCGATAGCGACGAGAGGGGTTCGTATCACGACAAGAATGTATCTGCTCGTACGTAATTCATTTCTATGTAAACTACATATTTATTTACCGTATGTAAACACAATTGCAGTCGCTCTGAAGGGAAGAGTCGCGCTACAAATGGGCAGTAACGAATTGCTCATAACAGAACTGATTCTGAAGAATGTGTTGACCGTTTTACAACCGGCAGAAATAGCAGCGCTATTATCGGCACTTATCTTCCATCAACGTACGGATATCGAGCCGCAACTCACGCTAAATCTAATCAACGTACGTATCCCCGAATTCTTTTCTCTTCTAATAATCAACAAACGCGAAAAGGGCCAGATTTTAATGGATTTCGAAACATTCGAAATGTATACTTGTGCTACAGACAGTTTTCAGGTCATTCAGGTTTCCGTTAGTCCTTTTTCTACGCTAGTTCCAATTATCATAACCATTCGTTGTTTCTTCATCGAACAATTGACGTTATCTTGCAGGGTCGTAATGTAATGAAAGAGGTGCACGCCGAATTGGAAGCTCTGGAGCAAAGTCATGAATTGTCGACACTGTCACCATTGAATTGCGGCCTGATGGAAGTTGTTTACGAATGGGCACAGGCGAAGTCATTCGCCGAAATTATGAAGAAGACTGATGTCCAAGAAGGAATTATAGTTCGTTGTATACAGCAACTCGGCGAGACTCTGCGGGATGTCAAGAACGCGGCTGTGACAATAGGCGATCCCGTTTTAAAGGAAAAGATGGAGGAGGCATCGACTGCGATCAAACGCGACATAGTCTTTGCTGTGTCTTTGTACACGCAAGACTAAACATAATTCAAATAACGTTATTTTTAGTACTCTGGCTCAATTATTGTATTTTTATATAAATTAAAAATTAAGGAATGCGGATACAGCATATACAGAATATAAGAAATGTTTTTTTTTATGTCTATATAGATCGTAGTATTCGGAAGTCGCATATGATATCATCAGCAGACATTATATATCAATAGAGCATCGTGGTATTTATAATCAAAGTAAGGTTATTATATTTTGAATGAGGAACTTTCCTTTGTGGATACTAGAATATTAGCAGGAAACAACTAAAAGCGCTAGCAGAAATTTTCTAAGAAATACTTGATAGTACCGTCAAACAACCTGTATATTAATTTACAATGCTTACTTGTACAAAATAATGTTACTTTACATCCTCATAAGTAATATTACAATGCGCGCTGATCCGCCGTACTGTTCAGATTGCCTTGGCCCTTGTTCAGTTCAGAGATACATGCCCATTGTCCTTCGGAATTTTCACGCCACAAGGAAACTTTATTATCTCCGCCACTGACCGCCAAGATCCCTCCCGTTAATGACCAGCTGACGTTCCAAATTACATCGTCGAAAACATTAAGGATGTTCGGTATCCAACTGGCGTAATCGTTGGATGTCCAGACGACCACGCGACGATCTTGCGAGCAGGACGCTAAAGCAGCTCGGGATGGTCCAACCGCTGGTGCCCAAGCTACATCCCGAACCTATAAATCCGACGAAGACCATACATTTAGACACATGAATATTACGATATAGAAAAATGTATTGATATATATTTTTATTAGTGTTTTATACCGCTGCTATTCAGATTTCCGAATATTTGAGGACCATGGATATTCGAATACTTGGATATTTATCAAATTTCAGAATTCAGATGTAAACTTTGATTCTGTTGTTGGATTAACAGAAGTTGAATAATCATACAGCTAAATACTTGAAAGTTTGAAATAGCAAAATTAAATCCAACTTTCAATAAATATCTCGAATAATTCGAATATCAAAATATTCAAATAATCTAAACAATAAGAATTTTAATTTTCATTCCAATTGAAATGTACCCAATCGCTATGCGCCTCCAGCTTATTTTCTTCCACCCATCTGTCACCTTCTTCCTTCCAAATTTTCACTAAATTGTCGCAGCCGCCAGTGGCTAATCTTTTAACAGGACCGCTCCTCTGTTGCGTCGCGTTGGCATCGAAGCCGGAATCGATCGCGGGACACCAACTAACCGCGTTACAACCGATGGTGTGAGCATTTGGTATTTTTTGCGTGTGCCAAGCATCTCCAGTGTTTGTAAGAATGGAGATCGACCCATCTGAGCTGCCGCATGCCAAAATTAAACCAAACTCGTGCGGTGCCCACGCGACGGAATTGACAGACGAATCATGACCTGTGTGTTCGTACACTTTTGTCCATTCTCCGAGTTCTTTCCAGATGATCACTTTCCTGGAGAAACGCGCGAACATATGTTAGTACATGTGTTATATTGTTGAATTTTTTTATTCAACTAATGTTAAGTTTGGTACAGGGATAAGCTTGCTATAGTTGCAGGTTGTTGCAAAATTGCTACATTTATAGAAATTTGTAAAAAAAATTATTACTACTGTGACAAACTTATCATAACTTTAAGATACCAAAAATTTGTCAAATACTTATACCAGATTGTAAAAATTCAAGAGGAACATTAATACGGCGATGCATTTGTTGTGAATTGTTACGACACTACGAGACATCACTAAAACCGAAATCTAGAAAAGCTCTTGGAAAAGAGAATCAGCAGTGTACCTGTCATAACTACAGGACGCTAGAAGATTGCCAAACTTGGGATGTGCCCATGCCACTTGCCATACGGGGCCGATATGTCCTTTGAGTTCAGCGACCAAACTTTGGTTGCCGTTTTTCAGGTCGAATATCTTCACCGAGTTGTCGCTTGAGCAAGTAGCTAACCTCAAACCGTAATAATCCATCTCGGCGTCGTGAATCATATCCTCATGGCCAGTGTCAACAGTATTCAAGACAGACACCATTTTGAAAGAATTTTACGTCCGTGCGTGACTGACGTTGTAATAAAATGAAAATGCACGAGAAGATTGGTCGTGAAACTGATCGTACATAAAATTAGGTTAGTTCATCCTGTCACTTACGTGGAAGCTCTCTCTCTCCCAAAATTTCTAGTTTCACGAACACATCAAGGCACATATCGTTCCAACGCCATTGACCGTTACGTGGAAGCATATGCGCGCGCATTAAACGTTCGATCGTAAAATTTCGATTATTATCGATTTTGATTTTCGACTGATATCGATTCCAATATCGGTCTCAATTCGATTAGTGTCGGATATTTTTCTACACTCTGTTACTTCACTTTGTTTCTCGTTGGCCTTCGTGATCGTTGATCCTCATAATAATGAAACTATGCATTATTTTTCGTAGTTGGAACAGAGTTCGCGTTGTCTCTGTTTACCTGCCAACAACAATCGAAGCATAGCCTTGGGGCAGCAGTTTTAAGAGAACACCTGGGGCCACACTTTGAGAGAGAAAGAAAGAGAGAGAGAGAGAGTTGTTTCTTTCTTCTTACGTACATACACTTGTTTCACATTTAAATATATATCCATTTAAGTACAAAAAGTACAGTTAAAACGGATAGATTTAAGATTACTTTCCGAGATTATTCTTTTCGTTCTGGGAGATCGAGACGAGCGGTTGTGTGTTGAAGTACTCCAGGAAAAAAGAAGAAAATAACGTAAAGTACAGCTTAGGTACATACATTAGTCTAGAATAGTTCTTTATCCGTTATTTGGCGTCTATGAGTTTAGCTTGAAAATAAATTCGGTTTTGGCCTAAAATGAAGATCGTATCGAATATTAGTATCGGTCCCCGCCATATTTAGCTTAGACGCGGGATGCAAATACAGATTCATATTTAGTTTAAATATTGTTATATTGTGACCGTTATATCGAGTACATCTCGGATATCTCTCGTTCTCTAGGTGAGCTGTAAATAAAAAATTACAATGTTGACTAAATCATTCACGTCTCGCAAATACGTGAGAGAGAGAGAGAGAGAGAGAGAGAGAGAGAGAGAGAGAGAGAGAGAGAGAGAGAGAGGGTCAAACGTACACTGCCTTAAAGGAATAGTGAGTATTATAACCTTAATAAAATTCTTATTGCTGCGAGAGATACTCAAAATACATTCAGGTGACCATCGTATATATGCTCATAAATGTATATAATTCTTGTTTGCACGGAGTGATTATATTGGTTCCGACCGGTGCGCTTAAATGTAATGATCAAATTTCTCTCGCTTACACAGTTAATAACACGCTCCGACAGTTTTGTGTTGCGAAAGAATAAAATTCAATCGGTGAATGTCGCGTCACTCGGTGAATGTAGTCGCATCCGGCAGAATTCGCACACATGACATCGACCTTTTCAAGACGGAACAATTTTATCATGACAAAGAATGACCTCGTATGTTTGGGTATTTTCTTTTTTAAAGGCTCGAAAGATTTTCGCGTTCCTCACAAACATGAAAGAGAATTTTAGAAAATTCTCAAGCATACGATACCGCGGATATACATATACATAAACCGCGAGTATTAAACCGGTTGTTTTCTCCGTTAGATTGAAAGCTGCGTCGCTTCCGTCTGGTTTTCCTGCCTATGAGACAAGTAGTCGCATGTGTACATACACACATGCAGCGTATCGTCACGAGAATGCATGGATAGCGCGCACATGTACAGGTATAGTTACGCATGCATTCACATACACACACATACACACGATGTGGACATTTACTATATGCTGGCGCGGAATGGAGCTGGCGACTATAAAATTTTCAATATGCTGTACGGTCGAGTGGCAGTTGCAATTAACGGTAATTACGTTTGCCCCCCGGGCCAGCGGTACGAAATCACAGCGCGGGAATTGTTTATCGATCGCGAGAGCGCGGCTACGACGAGGCGACGATCGCGCGCATTTCGAGTATAAGCGTAAGCAAACGCTCACGGAAGCAGAACGGAAATTGATTTCGCGTCAACGTCCCGCCTCGGGACGACAACGACGACAACAACGACGGGGAATCACGAGATTCTCGCGTGTATCGTTTAATGGTGAAATAGCGACTGCTTATTTGCAACCGTCTTTATGCAAATCTGCGTTGCATTTAACGGATTGTTCTGCTTATACGTGGTAATGTACTTGGAACAGGCAACGCTGTAATTATCGGTGAAACATTGCGGTTGATATGAATGAGAAAAATCAACGGTACTGATGAAAAATTACTATGATAAAGAAACTGACCTCTGAGGAAATTATCTAACTTTTTAGTCGTTCAGTTGTAACAGTGAGACACACAATATTAAAGGGGGAATTACATGCGGAAAGCCGTTTCCAAAGCTATTTTTTTAGCAGAAACGGTAAGATCAGTGGACTTGAAATTTTCACAGTGTATTCATTAATGTTCAAAATATAAAATAAATTTTATTGAATCACAAGAACCGATCCAATTTATAATTATAGATAAAAATGCAGTCATCCGTTTGCGAGCCCTATGTTTACTGTCGACATAATTCCGGGCCTCTCACTACTCTGAAACCAAAAAATAAGAAAGATTTTTAAAATATACTTTCTTTCAACTTGTAATCATGTTTAAAAACATAATAAAATAAAATAAAATGTTCGATAAAATAAAACTGTGTTCGAGGTAGGGGCGAAAACTATATATCTATTATATATTGTGTAAAAATTTCAAGTTATTCGATTCAGTGGGTTTTGGGTAATCGCGTCGATGGTTTAAAAAAATGGTGTTTCCAGATAAACGCGTTTAAAGTTTTATGTATACTTTTCATATAGATAATAACAAATTTACTTTATACTTTGAACATTAATGAATACACTGTAAAAATTTCAAGTCCATTGATTCTACCGTTTCTGTTAAAAAAAACTCGTAAAAATAGCCTTGAAAATGGCCTGCTTCTGTAATTCTCCTTTTAAATAAATATAGAAGTAACACAACGTGTTAAGTAAAATGCGTTGAAAATGCTGTCGGAAAAGTGGAATGTTTCTTAACATTTTCTTATAGTATATCTTTCTCTTATGTCTTATGTCTCTTAATATATGTCTTTTAATATATCTCATACATATCTCTTTAATATATCTCTTTAATATATCTTTAATATATCTCTTGTTAGTGTAATACGCTCGCGGGTTCGCAGTCGAGCGACAGATTTTTGCCTTCCTAGATATCGGGCACATCTCTCTTGTCGCCTTCTTAGAGCGGCTCCTCCGTTCGAGCGGAAATTCAGGGCGATGAGTCCGCGAGTTCCGGTTGCCGCGTATTAGAGCTCAGGCGTTGGATCGCCGGTGCGTGAATGTTGACAGTGTCGTCGTGAGATCCGAGCAAAAGAGGAAAGGAGGTGGCAAAGGAGAAGCTGACGGAGGAGGAGGAGGAGGAGGAGGAGAAGGAGGAGGAGGAAGAGGAGGAGGAGAAGGAAGAGGTGAAGGAGGATCGGAAAGTATGGAGAAAGAGAGGGGAATGTCGGTCACTGGGCCTCTTCTCTCTCGACGACGACTCGGCGGTGCCCTGGGGTCATCGAGGAAGGGCACGCGTTGCTAGGACTCCCCTACTTCCCTCTTTCACCTCCGTTGGAGCATTGTTCCTCTTCACTTCGTCTAGTCTCGCTAGCGCCCCTTCCTTTCGGCATATTCTCCGGCATTTTCGTCGTCTTCCACAACGAATGTAACATTTGTCCGGATCAACACGCACCACTCCGTCACGCTAACGATATACTGTCGAGTTCCTCTTCGCCGCTTTGTGCCGCGCTTGTGCGAGCGACTGCTTGTCGCCTCCGAATAACTAAATTAACCCGGACGCAATAACGCAATAAGAAGTCATCGACTCCGGGCTCGGCTTCCGTCCTAGAAATCCCGGATCTACGTTTTAAATAGCAATTCAAGTTTACCGATAACGGTAGTTAAATTTAAACAGTCGAAAGAACATAAAATCGCACGGTATTTAAAAGGATCGTTGATTGAGAGAAAAGCAAGAGAAACAGCAAATAAACGGGCCAATTCAGACGAATTAAATAATAACAAACGGTCGATGTGGCCATTTAAGCGGTCTCAATTCCATATTTATACTCCATTGATTTGATCCATTTATTTGCTCTTTACATAGTCCCTCCTAAAAAAAACAAACGCGATAAATTAAGCTGCACGAAAAAATTGTTGTCCAGAATTATCAATTGAAACGATAGCGGCGAAATGTTAATTTATGATATCCACTCCCGGAAATCGCGCACACTCATTTTTTCTGGTTCGTATTCGTTCTTATTTATATTCATTCGTATATTTATGCAACATGAAGGTTCCATGAAAAAAAATCGTTTGGTCGGCGTATAACAAAGATCGCGCTTAACCGCGATGGCGCTTTCCACGCGCGTCCGAAGACACGCGAAGTGTCGAAAGCGGGCGCGCGCGAGTTTCCACACCAGTGCGGCGCGACTCGGCCGAGCACCTACGTACGTAGCCGGGTACCGTAAAGGTGAATAAGCGGGTCGCACGAGGATCGGATTCCTCGCCTACCAGCCCGGACCACATTAATTTCCAACACGCGCGCGCGCGCGCGAGCGCGCTAGATTTACACGGTGATTCGTCCGGCGCGGTACGGCGCGGGGAAAAATAGCGAGAAAGGGGCGCAAACGCGGTGCACGCGGCACCGACGCACCGAAAAAGGTTCGACGCGTCGGTGCATTTTCATCTGGCACTTTCGCATTTTCAGTACACGCGCGGCAAGATCGATGGGAGATACCCGATTTGGCACGGCCGGTGAATTTGAAAAATCTCGAGAGAGGCGGGACGAACGAGTTCGCGCGAACTGCAGCGGACAACAAGCCATCCGCGAGCGTCAAGTATGTATAAAAATAGACGAAAACGTCGATTCGTTTTCGTCAATTTGGTCCTCGCGAAATCTCCCGCGGTCGTATTCACCCGGCAGTAACTACAGTTTTCCAAAATTTTGCAAAATCTCGCGTTCGTTGCCTGTTATTTATTGTTTCAAGCGTTTCAAATTAAAATTCCTCCCGGAATAAAGATAGTTTCGTTTACGGAATCCTCGTGCCTGCCTTCCAACCGAACGGTAAAAAGACCTCGATCGTGCGTACTCGGTGCGCAACAGTATTTCAATTGGGACAGAATGCGGAAGCGCGATGCCGGGGCTTATTTGTGACACGGGGTTCCGGGATCGTGTCGGCATTCGTCATCTAAACTTTCCCGCTTTCTTTCGCTCGATCGCCGCCGCGTCGGAGTCACCGATGAATTTTACGGAGGCGAAGAGGAACAGCCGGATGCTGAGCGAGCGTCTTTCAATGTGCATAGGCGGGGTCTCGCCGAAGCGATGCCAGGTGCTTGTGGGTCATTCGTTCGGATCGATTGGTCCGCTCTCATTTATTATTGATACGTCCGCCGCGTATCATGACACCGTACATTCCAATGTTTGTACTACGGTAATCGGCCAGTTAATGAGCGCCTCGTTACGCGATCCCCGTGCCATGTCGCTCGATATCGCCGCGCGATTCTCCGTCTCTCTAACCATGCTCTCGGTAACGAATCTCGACGAGAGGAACGTCGATGTTTCGTCATGGACGGAAGGATATTGCATTTCTGCAAACGCGGAAATTGTATTTCTCTGTCTACGATTCTCGTGTGTATGAACTTTCGGGTGAGTTAGTTATAACAGCCGCTGCTGCACCGATGCCTCGCCTGTAGCTCGCAGTGGAGTTTAAATTACTCTCGGAAAGTTCAAGTTAATCTTTTGACTCTTTATCCGATAATGTTGCCAATACCGACACGTCGACGTTGCAATTTTTTGCATTCTGTCTGGCGGATCTTTCGCTTGATCCTCGTCGCGTTGCAAGTAACATTGCGAATGGTGTTTCGTTCGTTTCACCTGTTTTACTTTTTTCAAAGCGCATTTTCCAAAGCTGTGTACATGTACGCGAGAGTGCGATTTAAGATAAATGTCCCGGTAACCGCACTTTATTATTAGATTATTATATTTATATATTTATTATTAGATTAAACGTAGGTCGTCACAAAAAATACAATATATAATATCAAGAATAGTTTTGATATAAATATTTGTATTTATTCGAAAACTTAAAATTCCCTTAAGTAGAGTGAAATGATTTAAACTAATGTATATATTTATTATTAATGAGATATTCATATAAGTAATGAAGCTCATTAGTACCAATTACTGGACAGTTGAAATAGCTTATCGTCCAATGTTCGGATATAATTTGTCTCAGGATCCGACCGCAATTAAAAAATTAGTATGTGCTAGCGGAAAATAATATAAATATAGATGCTATCTCTTAATGAATTTATTAACGATTGACCAAACCGAACTTGAATTGGCAAACGATTTGCCAAACCATAGACACGCATACTTATTTAATTAATTTTTATTTTAACACAAAAGTACCAAATTGGATATATTTTTTTCCAATTAATCGTCAAATATTGGATTTTTTTACAATAATTATTGTTAAAATAAATAGTAAATATTTTTTTTCAAAGTGGATACTGAAACGTGTCCGGCCATTGAGATGTTTATCTTACTCACTTCTGCGGAGCCGCGAGAAACAAACAGGCGAACCTCCGCGACAAGGATCGCGTCGAAGATCGAAACTTTCGACACTTTCGACAAAATCGTGATACGAAGTCTCGGGGATTACCCAAAACTTCCTTCTTCGCCGAGCTCAGAATCTGAAAAGGGGTGGTCGTGCCAAGTTCGAACGGCCTCGGGATGTGTACTTGCGGACAATTTGTCAGAGCGTGTGCTCGCCTCCTTCCGTCCTTGCGGAAATTTCACATCGACGAGAGCGCGAAAGATCGATCTCTCGATCCCGAGGACGCTAAACGCTAGCGTGCACCCGTTCGGCCAGCGTACTCGGTGACCGCCGCAACCGTCGTCGTATATCGTCAGGGCCGTAGAATTCTAGAAGGGGGTCATCATACGAGGCCGGCACCGCCGAACGGATGCGCCGCGTAGCAGCGCCAGGACAGTGCACAAGCGTCATTCGGCGCGTACTGAGCGAAAGGCTAGAGAGGTGCGTCGTCGGAGGACCAACACGAGAGCGGCGTCGCAGTGCCGTCGTCGTCGTCGTTGACGTCGTCGTCTTCTTCGTCATAGTAAATACGGCAAACAGTCGCGTGGTAGTCGTCCGCGTCGTGCGGCCCATCAGCGTGCGGTTTTTCGCGCGCGGGTTTCGAAGTGCGATACGAAAGGGGAAGTTCTCGCGCCGAGGGGTCGCAGGCGAAATCCACGGCGAACGGTTGAACAGCGTACTTCGCGCTCGCGTCTCCGAGAACGGATATTTGCAACCCAGGTAAGAGTAGCGGTGAAAGAAAGAAGAAATAACGTTGCGTTGCGCCAACGTTTCCTCGCGGTCGATAGATCTTCGACGGCGGGGAGATGATCCGCAGAAAGTTTAAAGAAAAAGAAATAGAGAGGAAAATGAAGCGGTCGAATTGTCGCACTCGTGATTACGTACTACGTATTTACGTAGAAAACGGCCGGTGATTCTTCTTGTTTCTTCGCCGTGAGAAACTGGAAATTTTTACAGGTGCACATCGCGCAGCTTGTCGGGTCGCGCCGAAAATTTCGCTCGATGGTCGGCTCTCCGAATGCAAAAAATATCGGCGCATCGGTAACTTTTCAACGTGGATTTATCCCCGTCATGCGCAAATCTTTCTCTCTTATTGTGAGTGCTCGCTGATTTATTTATGAACGCGGAGAAATTCTTCCCCCCGAGGGGATACTTTCCAGCTCGCGCGATTAGAATGAGGCTTACTCGGCGGATCCATATTTCCCGGTATAAAGGATAGTACCGCGCAGAAATTCTGAAGAAACTTTATCCTTCTTAAACGGTTGGCCTTAAATCATGCTGCGACGGCGGAGTGAGGTCTCGATATTCAACTCGACCTGATACTCTTTGCGGCGAAGTTTGCGCTACGAATAATCATACCTCACCGAATACATGGAAATATATTTCGTTTCTTCCAGGTTACGCGAGCTCGGTAAATTAAACCGACGATGAACTTCCTCTCTCTCTCTCTCTCTCTCCCCCCCCCTCGGTCCCCCATCGTGCGTCTTTCAATACTTATTAAACAGCGAGCTTAAGCGCGTATATGTATATAGATATCGAAAAGCGATTTCCATGCTTGCACTCGTGCCGACTTCGACGGCTAAGTGGAAAGTAATGGAACAGCGAAAACTTTTTACAATGATTATTGCGTGTCGTAATTACGCGTTTCTTTCGATATTTTTGCAATACAAATTTTCGCGTAAATAATACGTATCGACGACTTTTATTCCTCACGAATAAGTCGACGTCGCGAAAAATTACGGACAATCGTAATCTTTATCCTGTTAATATTTCTGCAGGAATTCGCTCCGTCGTTACACACACATACACAAATATATATCCAAATAACATTTATTGCGCTTTGCCGCTGTGTAATCTTCTTATGTAGCTTTGCCGCACAATCGCGCTGGATATGGGAGCAAAATACACACGCTCCACTTTCGAAAACATACCGCACATAGAACGCGAGTTTCCCTTCCGCACGCGCTGCAAACGACCTCCTCCGCTACGGGTCACCGGTTTCGTCGTTGAAATTTCCCGTTTAAACACTCTTTAGATATTCGCCCGACGACACACACACACACACACGGAACTGCGCACTCGGCTATTCAACTTGCCACCGGCCAGTCTCGGGCGTCGGCAGTCGATTAATTTCCAGCCCGTATGCTTTCTAAACGCGCGTCGAGAATGCGATTCCCATGTAAGAAGCGCGCGCGTTTACGCTCGCGGTTTTCCCGAACCGCGCCCTGCTGCTGCGCTTCGCGTACATTTGCGCAGGATGCACCGCTAAGAATTTTCAAATGGCTCTCGACATAGCGGAATCCTCGCCTCGAATCTACGCGAACCGCAGCCTGTGCAGGCGGTTCCACGTTTAGCGTGTAGCACATCGCGTTGTATAACGTTCTCTGTTTGCGCGCTATCCTTGTAACAGCGCGAGCGAGCGAGCGCGCACGTACGGACGTGAAAGCAGTATCTCTTTTTTCCTTTTCTTTCCTCACGCGTGCCCGATATGCCGTGTTTGGAGGAACTTTCGACCGAAGAAAACGGAGAGAGAGAGAGAGAGAGAGAGAGAGAGAGAGAGAGAGAGAGAGAGAGAGAGAGAGAGAGAGAGAGAGAGAGAGAGAGAGAGAGAGAGAGAGAGAGAGAGAGAGAGAGAGACAAGTGGGAGACGAACGTTTCAATAACTACGTTCCGCGTAGCGCGCTTCTAAGTCGAATAATACGCGCCTATCGAATTCGATAGATCGCGAGAAACTCGAGTGTCGCATGCGCCGCGATACAATTCACCGACGCGACGATGAATCTTTGATCTTTGATTGGATGTTTCATCGATTCGCGCGGCGTTCGGGCAAACACGAATTGTCTATTCGTTCGTTGGTCTTTTTTTCTTTCTTTTGCTTTCCATTTCTTCCTAAAAAATTCATAATTGCGCATGCGCATATATATATACAATAACGAAAGGCGGCGATGTGACACGTCCCTGATCGCCGGAGCGTCGAAATTTCCATAGCACGCTGAGGTCTTTTGGCGAGCTGCGAATTTTTCGACGTGTCTGAGCTCTCCCGCAATCCGGCACTTTGTAGTCAGCCGGCTGACAACGCCCGTCGCGCCACTTTCAGGAGCACAAAGAATTTCCAATAGCGTTTCACGAGGAAAACAGCGGCGCACTCGTAACTTCCGTCAAGAGAGAACGAGAGAGAGAAAGAGAGAGAGAGAGAGAGAGAGAGAGAGAAAGAGAGAGAGGAAAAGAGAGAAAGAGAGACAGAGTCGCGATCTATATTCTTTTATTTTCTCTCCCCTTTTTTCTTTCACACACACGCGCGCGCGCGCGCTCACGCTCGCACGCCCATATGCACACAAGCCGTTTACGAATATTAACTTTCGAAATACAATTTGTTGCCTATGGCCTTTTTTGACTACGATTAAATTGAAACTGAAATAGTGAAATTGCCTTTTCTGCATATCTCAGCCGTTCGTGCTGGCTCATAATGCGCGCGCGCTTTATTAAAAATACGCAATACGCGACGTTTTATGATTCTAAATCGATGCAAACGCGATATGACTTTTACGTTACTTTTCTTCCGTCCATTTTCCTTTTTTTCTTCCCGCCGTATTACCGCGCAATTCTATGCCCCGAGAACTCCGAGAGCTTCTGCTTTGAAGTGCGCTGAAAGGAAGTGCGCGAAATATTTTCTCTGATATTACGATTACATTCGACGTCCGTCGTCGATGTTTTCCGGCTCCGATTCCACTTTCGGGCCAGGTGTTTTCAGGAAATGTACGTATGTACGAGTCGTGTACCAATTAGCGCGACACGGGAGAGTTATTGTTCTTCTGCTTTCCTCGATTTTTCCTTCTTTTGGTTTCTTCCATCTTTTCACGAAGATTTGCTTTTCCTGGCTTTGCCCTTTTTTTCTTCACCGCAAATCTTGCTTTCATTCATGGACCTCGGCAATTTTGCAGAAAATCCGGCCTGTCGCTCAGGAAGCGTTTTAATGGAAAAAATCCACCATCGCCACGCACGCTCGCGTGTGCAATATGGAACACCGGAGAGATTGTCTGCCTGTCTGCCGATTTTTCGAGTCGTTCGCAGACTGAATGACTCGACGCGACGCGACGCGATGTTGCAGAACAGCGCGTTGTGATACGTTTCCCGCGACGTTTTCGGGAAAAAGAGTATAAAAAAAGAATGGCGAGTGAACGAGAATTTCCCTGGCGTTTCCTCCCGTGGGAGAGGAAGCGCCCGCCGGCGGAAATCCATGAATTGTCGGTTTCGTCTTGGAGTGCACGACGACGCGGCTGAAGGAAAAACGCCGAGCGATCGTCTGTGATTTTTATCTCCGTGGCGGAAAAGTTTCCCTCTTCGCGGTAACTCACGTTCGTCCCTATTTTGTATTCGCGGCTTTGACTCTCGTCACGGGGATTACGCGACGGTAACGTGAGGTAAAACGCGCGCTCGTTTGCGGTAAAAAAGGCTGTTACACCGTACTCGAATACGTCGCAGAATTAAGAAGACACACGGAGCGTCATGGAGGACGCCATCATTTTGATTAAAGTTCGCAACAGCATCACGCAAGTTGAGAAATAAGTCGCGACCCGAGTCAGCTTTTAAACATTTAGAACTTTTATACCGCGATACTGTTGCATCGCATGCAGGATATATTGAATATAATTTTAATTATGTCGATATATCGGCGGTACAGCGATGGCATAATCAGTTTTTTCGACGCTTTACTTTAACGCCATTACTAATATTTTCCAACATTATTTTATCAATAGCACGTCTCGAAAGGCGAAACGTAATTTTGATATTTATTTCACAAATATTTAGCTCCTATTGCGACCAATTAACAAAATATTTTCAGAAAGCGAAAAAAATTTCAACGGTTGCATTTTCGCAATTTTATAATTTTACACATCTCTCCTCGCTTTACCATCTGCTTATGATTTTGAGTTTGCGTTTGTTGCTTCTCTTTGTTGTCGTCTCTTCGCCTCCCTCCTCCCCTCACACTCTGTTTTCGTTATATATTCTCTTTGAGGAATCTTCTCTTCTCTATCATATGTCCCTTTGTATCCCTTTGTAGGCTCGTGTCTATATAAGACTTAATGGACAATTCGGCTCTTCGACCTTCGGACATCTATTTTCTCACTGTAGTTTATTTTCGCAACGGGACGACACTCTTCCGCGCGATTACATCTGAACAAAAATTCGCGGTAATACGTGAGAAATGAATCGCCCGTCCGGCGGGCGAGCGTCCGATCGTGTCTGTTTACGTCTGTCTGCATTCGAGATCGATGTGGAGCGCATAATATTATCTATAGGTATCCGTGTAATCTATCAGTATCCTGCTGTGGGAAATTGAATGTTATATCAGGACGTTAATCAGATCGGAACGGCGCAGCGCTGCGGCCTAGAGCGCTTCTTGCTCACGTTGATTTTCATCGATATTTCTGCCTCTACAGGGTGTTCCGCGATCAGCCGTGTGTGACTCGACCGTAACTCTTACGGCAAACTCCATGCAGATTCTTTCTTCAATGAAAATATCGAAGGAGGTCATCATATTCGTTACGGTGTCCCAATTTTTCATATTCTTGCGCGTCTTCGATGGCGAACGAAAATTTTGTGAAAATTCGCTCGCAAGATCCGTCCTTGAAGAGTTGAATTTTGTCGAGTTCTCTCGTTCTCTCCCGTCCTTGTAATTCGATTCGCCGGAGGTATTTGTCGTTTTGACCGTCAGTTGC